TCTCAGGCTGGGGGGGGGGGGTTCCTGAAACCCAAAAAAAACCTCTGGATCCGCCACTGTTCCCCATTTCAGTAATAAAATTGTTAAAATGGGTAACTGCTACCCAAATGCAGGATTATTATATATATGCATCATTGTGCCCAACCTGTTTGTTAAAAACACAAGTCACTATATCGTAGTATAATAATTCAATCCGGGTCATTTTTATCCATAATCCCATGTTCAGTTGTCCTATTCACTGTACACAATTGTTGTTTGATAAAGTTTATTTATAGTCCATATAGAGGGTCGAGTCACCATATATATACTGTACATCATGATATTGTTATTTAGATCACGTTTAGAACTTGTTTATTTCACATGATCTAAATAACAATATCATTATGTCATTATATTGTGATCTGTAATTTGCACCTTATCTCTATATAGCTACAATGCTACTGTAAAACTGTTCTGATAATGGTAGGCTAGGCCTACCGAAACATGTCAACAATAACATGTCTACTGTAACAGAATTCTGGGTGTTAATGCTCCTTCACTTACTTTATTGTAGGATAATAATTATAGAAAAAATGTGTTTTTCAGGGCGAGTTTATTATGGAAAGATGTCTATTGCTTATGGCAAGGGATTACAAATATTCTGTAAGTATATTACATGTAGTATGATTGAACGTAAGAGTACAAATATTTGTCTATAAAAACAGCTTCAACAAAAGCAATGATGTGCGATTAATTCAGTTCATGATGTTTTAAATATCAAAGCTTACATTCATGATCACAGATACTCGTATATATTCATTTGACAAGAAATAAGTCTTCTCTTGTTAAAGATAAATGGAATATGTTGTTGATGCTTGCTTCGTGTCCTCAAAATATTAACTACCCCGTAGATTACATTATTTCTGGAAAAAAAATGAATTAAAATATATTTATATACCCCCACAAACAAAGTTTGGTGGTGGGGGTATATAGGAACCATGCTTCCCGTTCATCTGTCCATATCAATCCTTGTAAGCGCAATTCCTCCTAAACTGTGTGTTGGATCTATTGTGATAATTTGCATTGGTACACCGTATGTACACGTATACGTACATTGTATGAAAATTTGCATTAAGAAAGGAATATGCGATAAAGATATTTTTCCTTGAGTTATATTTATGGCCCTTGAAAGTTAAAATTTCTGCTCCAGAATCCTTTTACATACAACTCCTCAGGCTCTTGAACTGTTTGTTAGATTATTTGTAACATCTTAGCATAGTCAAACTGCATCAAAATGTATGTGTCTATATATATGTGCATGAAGAAAGAATTTGTGAGTCAGCTATTCTTCCTGGAGTATTTCTGCTCCAGATACCCCCTAGTTAAGTCTGCTCCAGATACCCCCTAGGTAAGTCTGCTCCAGATACCCCCTAGTTAAGTCTGCTCTAGATACCCCTAGTTAAGTCTGCTCCAGATACCCCCTAGGTAAGTCTGCTCCAGATACCCCCTAGTTAAGTCTGCTCTAGATACCCCTAGTTAAGTCTGCTCCAGATACCCCTTTGTTAAGTCTGCTCCAGATACCCCTAGTTAAGCCTGCTCCAGATACCCCCTAGTTAAGTCTGCTCCAGCTACCCCCTAGTTAAGTCTGCTCCAGATACCCCTTAGTTAAGTCTGCTCCAGATACCCCTAGTTAAGCCTGCTCCAGATACCCCCTAGTTAAGTCTGCTCTAGATACCCCTAGTTAAGTCTGCTCCAGATACCCCCTAGCTAAGTCTGCTCCAGATACCCCCTAGTTAAGTCTGCGCCAGATACCCCCTAGTTAAGTCTGCTCCAGATCCCCCTAGTTAAGTCTGCTCCAGATACCCCTAGTTAAGTCTGCTCCAGATACCCCTAGTTAAATTTGTTATTTACAATGCCTTTGTTGAGCCACATAATCCAGATAGATTATATTATCAAGTTGCCATTCAAGTTGCTGATGTGTTTCCTCTTTTCAATATTTAAAAAGTGACCCAATAATTAATCCAGCTTTTTATCATTGAGCTACTTTTGCTGGAAACAAATTGCAGAGATGACTGGAATATCCGGCTCAGCTGATTATGAGTGTGAATATCTTTCAAAATCTACAAACATAGATATGTTTAGTGACACAGACTTGACAAGAAAGAGTTTATTTTTAAGCTTTCCTAGGGATCTGGATATCCATACTTGATTCCATACTTGATTTTTAAGCAAATGTTTTTGCCATGGTCAGGTGATAACAAATTTCAATGGAGAGCTGTGCGGTCATTACCCCAGCAAGTTGGTCATGCTGGAATACCAATTGACAGAGGCAGAAAAACAGTCAAGGAAACAGGAAGAGTATGTTCAGAAGATTTTTACAATATATTTTATTGTTATCGACTAATAAGTCCTTTATGGTGTCGGAATATGAAATTAAAAGTTGATACACATGTATAATTACACATAATTGTTATTTACCTCAAAATTTATAAACATGTTAATTAAGAAATTATAGATGACAGCATTACAGATGTATAATTGCTATTTACCTCAAAATTTATTGACATGTTACAGGTAATTAAGAAATAAATGACAATTTGTATATACATGTTATGCATTTGCAATGTTGGTATAAATATAAGATTTGTGTTGATGAAGTCATGTACAAGTTCCCATGTTTAGCCTATATTGGTTGTTTACATGTACATTTGCATGCTTCATGGATTGTCTGTTGTTGGCAGTGTGCAGAGCTTCTACGATGTGGAGAAGTTACGGGAGCTGGTGAAACATGCGCGCTATGCCAGATGTCGCTCCAGGTTTGCAGTGCCTGTCATTCTGTATGAAGGAAAGGTATTCAATACTTTCAATCTGAGATTGCAAGTTTTAAGAACCATCAATTAGCAATCCAGAAAAAAATATGTGAATATTTCACTGTCATTAATGTGTGTTTGTGTTAACGACATTCACCTGTCAACAGACTCATGTGCAGCTTTAATGCTTGTCGTCAGGGCTCCATATCAACACAGACTTGTGATCATGACTATACATAGTATAAACACGACAAATTTAACATGATGAATGATTAACTTCCTATTTACCAGGAAGTAGTGTCTTGATATATAGGAAGCAATAGGAAATCTTATTAATGTTATAACCTGCATGGACAGCTTTACATCAAAACTATCTATAGATTACAGTAAGATTACATAATAATGAAATAAATCTTAAAATGAATGATCATATTTGAGAAAAAATCAAATTGTATAATATCACTTTCCTCAGCTCGACAGACAATTTAAAAAAGAAAAAAGCTTGTAGTTTAATAAAAAGCAAAAGTATAATTGCCATTTTAAAATACTAGGATAATGCACATATATAATAAATGAAATTGATAAATAGATTAAACATTGTGACACATTTTAAAATATTTTCAATCTGATTCATTTGAAAAATGAATATATTTCACAATATGATTTACAGATTTTTAACACAGAAAAAAGCAAATGTCCTTTCAAGTCTGTCATTTATAGTCCAAAATTAAAGTGTTTGAAATGTGTTTCAGCATGTATGTAGATCGGCCACCCTGTCCGGTGGGGCCGAGATGTATGGACGACAGGGACTGGACTTTCTGTTTTCTGGTCCTCCAGGTAATAACACTTCTAACTTGATAAGTTGTTTGTGTGTCAAAAAGCTCATATATACCTGGTATTAAATAAGCCCACCCGTTAGTATTGAAGTTCAGAAGAGATGCCAACAAAGTGTATTTAAGTCAGAGATTATGTGTTGGCCCCCTTGGTTTACTGCAGGATAAATATGGTAAGTTGTTCCTTATGCACTTAGTAAACACTTACGGCTATTTAAGATAATATGTATATTCGGGCAAGGATAAGGCAATGATTCTTGTGACCTCTGTAAGGCTATTTAAGATAATATGTATATTTAGGCAAGGATAAGGGAACGATTCTTGTGACCTCTGTAAGGCTATTTAAGAATATGTATATTCGAGCAAGGATAAGGCAATGATTCTTGTGACCTCTGTAAGGCTATTTAAGATGATATGTATATTCAGGCAAGGATAAGGCAATGATTCTTGTGACCTCTGTAAGGCTATTTAAGATGATATGTATATTCAGGCAAGGATAAGGCAATGATTCTTGTGACCTATGTAAGGCTATTTAAGATAATATGTTTATTCGGGCAAGGATAAGGCAATGATTCTTGTGACCTCTGTAAGGCTATTTAAGATAATATGTATGTTCGGTAAATGATAAGGCATTGATTCTTGTGACCTCTGTAAGGCTATTTAAGATAATATGTATATTCGGGCAAGGATAAGGGAACGATTCTTGTGACCTCTGTAAGGCTATTTAAGATGATATGAATGTTCGGGCAAGGATAAGGCAATGATTCTTGTGACCTCTGTAAGGCTATTTAAGAATATGTATATTCGGGCAAGGATAAGGCAATGGTTCTTTGTGTTGCAGTCCCTCTAGATAACAGTCCCTCTAGATAACAGTACCAACTCAAAATGTTGTTATGATTCAACAAAAGCAAGTGTGTAGTAATATCAAACGTACTACATGTACCGTTATATGACCTCTGACCTCACTGTTCAGTTAATGTTGTTTTCAGGATGGTGTATTGCTTTTTCTCATGAAAACAAATGTTTTTCTTAATTTCAAATAATGAAAGTAAATGTAATAAAATGTAAATATAAAGTTGGAAATACATCTTTTTAACATTTATGAGGATCCGTTAAAACACATTCTCCAAGATGCGCTAGCGCATATCATGGAATATGTTTGAACAGAACTGTGTTGCAATACCCTCATAAATGTTAAAAAGATGCATTTCCAACCTTAATTGTTCATTTTTGGTGGGCATTTAATGGATGAACAACCTGAAATGAGTAGGAATGTTCTGTAGCTGGTTTCCTGCCCTAAAATTGGAAATTTATATGAATAGTTTGATTAATGCCAGAAATTTTACAATTTTAACAAAAGACAAATTCAAATGTGTAGATGACTTGTTGGTGGTTGATGTTTATTAAAACAAGTCAAAATGTATATAAAGGTATTTCATCATAGAATTGGACTACAAAGCTACCACTTACTAATGGGGCTACAAAGCTACCACTTACTAATGGGGCTACAAAGCTACCACTTACTTTGCACACTGCTGAGTCTCGCATCTTGTCCTATAACAGGAAGTGAGGCCTCGCCCAACATGTCCGCTCCAGGACCTGGCCCTACACCCAGCTCTGGAGAGATGCAGATGTTTGATCGCTACAGGGGACAGGACATAAAACTGCTGAAAGAGTTCTCTGTGGGATACATATGTGACCTAATGGTCGAAAAGAAAAAAGTGAAATTTGGCTTAAAGTGAGACATTTTATTCTGTTTGGTGAAGTTGGGTAATGTTGTGCTATAGACTGCAAAATGTAATAGACAGCAGCAGATCATGAGCTAATCACTGGTTGCATGTATATTCAATAGATACTCAAACAAAAATATGTATTACCTGGTAATGATAGAACTAGAACTTTATTCGTTCAACGTGATCAGAAAATTAAAGCTACCATATAACCACGTTAAACATATTTTTGACAAACTAAGATTAATGTGTTCTATGAAAAACTTGTTCTGGAGTCATTGTACTCATATTTTTTCACTTTTTTTTGAAAATGGAATTGAACTGTTTATAAGAAGCATCTCAGAAAGCACTTTTCCTCCAAACCAGTGGCAACTACTAAATTGCTCTCTAACCAATCACAACAAACAAATTAAAACAAAAGATGTTATAGACAAAACTGTATGGATAACCTACCGGTATATATTGAAATTTATAATTAAAAAACAGTTTTTTCAATTTCATTTTAGACTATCTTTCATTTGTCTTTCTATAGCAAAGAATTATATAAAACATCGTTTTACGTTTTCAGCATCACATCATCAGAAAAGGTCGACAAAGAAAACAGATATGCAGACTTCTGTATATTGTCAATACCCTACCCAGGTTTGTATCATACCGTGTTAACATATATACATGTTGTCTCAACAAGGTCCCAGTCCCACTGCACTGTGATTTTACCTATATACAGTTACCTCCCCTTAACCTTCACTTGGATAGGGTTGGAGTCACTACTGTTGATCAGGTAGCTCGATCGGTTAGAGCGATAGTATATCTTTCTGAAGTTCAGGGTTTGAATCCTTTCTTGCCCACTTGAACTCAAATACTGGCCAACTTCTTAAAATTTTCACTGGGAAGATAGCGTGTGCTGAGAATTAAATTACATAATAAAATGTGTGTATGAACACATTACGGAAATGTTCACGCCTTTAAATGACATATTTTGAGATGTTCTTTTAGATAAAATCATCAGATCTTAGAAACTAGGAATAGTTAAATAAGTATGAATACAAATAACATGGAAAACAATTTCTTTTAGGTTGTGAATTCTTCAAGGAATGGAAAGATAACTCCTATCTGGGAGAGACAATGACATTTGACTGGAGTCAGGTAGGTTGGTTAAATAACATTCCAGAATTAATTGTATAGAACTCAATTATATCCTCCATGTGTTAATTGTATAGAACTCAATTATATCCTCCATGTGTTAATTGTATAGAACTCAATTATATCCTCCATGTGTTAATTGTATAGAACTCAATTATATCCTCCATGTGTTAATTTATATACTTGGATCATATCTCCTCTCAACCTCCTATGTTTCAGTGTTGGTGATTTCAGAATCCTCCGTCTGTTTTCATAGCTTAACTGGTAGATCTTTCATTCCCAGTAATTGCTTGTTGATCTTCTCTGTACATTTTCTATTTCATTTATATATGTTTGTAAATATGGATTCCATACACAGGCCACATATTCCAGATGTGGCCTTACAAGGGAAAGAATGTTGTATAACCTAAATATGTGCAAGTTCTTCAGATGGTTCCCATATTCTATTTGCTTTGTTGACCACATCAATGTCAATTAAGTCAACCATTAAATTGGGGTTCAAGAAAAATGATATTGCATACTGACTAAATATTTTTTAATCAGTTTGAGTAAATAGTTAGTTTGTTAAGCATTTCTAATAAAGAGGAGCACAACAAGATAGTGATTTTGTTTTATCTTGGACCTTTTTATTTTGCTGATCTTTTATATTGCACTTAAAAAAAATAACTGATTTATTCAACAACTGGCTTCTGATTAAATTTGCAGGCTTGTAATTCTTTTTTTTAATGACATTCACTGAAATATGGACATTTTGACACATTGATGTCTGATGTGACTAGACTTCTATCTCAAAATGTCTTTACTCTGGTGTCAGGGCCAGAGGAAACTCTGGCTAATGTCACAAGTGATAAAAGCCAAAAGAAAAATGTAAATCATGCTGATATCTGTTTACAGAACTATGTAGATGCGGTGCTGGACATTCCTGACGACCCCCTGTTAGCACAGGTGGGGATAGACTGGAGGAAGTACAGGGTAGGTCACCTAATAATACATCAATTTCTCTAACATCTACATAATTATAAAAAAAATCTGGATTAAGAGGTGGAATCAAGAAGTCTTTAAATTACATGTAGGTATGGGATATGCCTTGGTTTACACCCCAAATTCTACACTTTTGGATATTATATCTATACCTATGAAAACCTATGTATAATAAACTAAATTCATGATAATCTTGTATGATATTTACCTTTGAAGCAGGTTAAATTTCATTTCAATTTTACAACTTAAAATCATCTACGTGGATACATTTTAAATATTTTTAGGATAATTTTTTGAGGAAACACAACCAAATTCAGGCTGAAAAATTGGATAACAATCAAAATATTTTGTGTGTTGAAAGTTTTCAGAAGTGTTTTTTTTTTCTTTAAGTATTTTAACCTTTGAAACTAGTGTATGTATCAGATGTATTTTTTTGTTTCAGAGCTGGGATTTAATTCGTCTCACTCAGAACTACTTGAAACTGCTGCTTCATATTTTGATTGAAGGTAACTAAAAAGTTGATTTAATTTACTTATTTTCTATTGGAATGAATCATGATTAGCCTTAGTAGTCTGTTTCTCAAGTGACACTAAACACTTACAGCCCTTACTGCAGTGTTTCTCAAGTGACACTAAACAGTTACAGCCCTTACTGCAGTGTTTATCAAGTGACACTAAACAGTTACAGCCCTTAATGCAGTGTTTATCAAGTGACACTAAACAGTTACAGCCCTTACTGCAGTGTTTCTCAAGTGACACTAAACAGTTACATGACCCTGCAGGTAGGGCGTAAGAATTGTACCTGCTGCCCCCAATTGCATGATCGTAAGAGGCGACTAAATTTGGGACCTTATCTCTTCTCTCCTTTCTAAATAACTTTCTTCTTCCTAATGTCTCCCTTGACAATGCCTCACTTTTGGCCATTTGTTGAGCGTTCGCCCCTGTGAGGAAGGCTTTGGGTTCTGTCCCCTGGCCGAGACATACCAAAGTCTTTAAAAATGGTAGTTTATACTCCTGCTTAACGCTCAGCAAATTAGGAGTGGGACGACTGGTTCGCCCGTTGTCAGTATAATGTGACCGGGTGGGGCGTCCTGCTGGGTGTCTTCGGCAGAATGTTTCAGTGAGGTAGCACTATAAAGTAGGCATCAGTTTCGCGCTATCACAAGGAGACAAACACGAACATATCGCAGCCTCCCAATATACACACACATACACTACACGCATGCATCTTGCACCCAGGGGAGGCCGTCCTTAAATGACCTTAGCTGTTAATAGGACGTTAAACAAAATCAAACAAACAAACAAACTAAACAGTTACAGCCCTTACTGCAGGGAAACACAAATCTTCGTTTCTCTGAGGTTTATCATGTTTCAGGAGGGCAAAGCAAACTGAAACATGACTGATCGAGAAGAAACAAATACATACTGTATAAAGTTTATTCATTTTACAACCATTATGAAACAAGTTATTTCAACTTCTATTAATCACTCTTGTTGGGCCAGATGTTATCGCCCTGCGGTGTTTATTTTTGTGTAATATAGTGTCCAATTCTGTAAAGTTTTTAATTCACTCCTCTCACAACATTTATTGAACAATACCACTAAATTAATATAGGATTAAAAACTAATATAAGTTTGAAAATTTCATCATGCTCATGTTGTTGATTTTATTTTGTATCAAATATAATAAACGGCTATTATGGTTACTGTAAAATATTTGTATTAAAGATTTTTTGGACAGCTCGTTCACATTATACACCTTTGTGTACATACGCTTCACTGGTCATTTGTCTGATGAAGGTGACAGTGTACATATCATACTAGCCATCGAAATATCACATAGAAAAGTGTATTGGTTGTGTAAAAAGAACTTCTCATAATCCAAACTTACCAACCTGAAGAAAATGTTTAGAAATATTCTGAATGTATTTGTGACAGCAGTCGACTATTCTTGTGTACTTTTCAGGTGACACTGGAGTGCTAGTCCACTGTATATCGGGCTGGGACCGGACGCCCATGTTTATCTCCCTTCTCAGGATCTCCCTCTGGGCTGACGGTGTCGCTCACGCTTCTCTCAATCCCACAGAAATACTCTACCTCACACTCGCCTATGACTGGTACCTCTTCGGGTAAACAAAATTAATTTGCTTTTTTATTTAGCTTTCGCTTTCAAAGAAAGATTTACTTGTTTGAAGCATATATATATATATAAAGACTGCTAGGCATGTAGACAGAGATGGCATTTTGAATATTAGATAACTCTTTAAAATAAAAACAGATTGTTACAACACAATGAACTACATATATATTTGGAACAGCATATTGGTCAGCAACATTCTGTGACATGATTTTCATGATTTGCTATGACGTTATTGACATCTCCGACAGATGAATGTGCAATTAAGAGTTATTATGCAAGATGTTGTGTAGGCACAAAATCAAAGTTTGGGACTTTTTATTTTTACATATGTGTTTAAATACAAAAAGTTCCCACCACCAATTCTTTATAAACTTAGGTATGGTGTTGTCTTCAATTTATTATCTCATTTTTCAGACACAGTTTACCAGACAGAGTGAACAAAGGAGAAGAGGTAAAGTGGATATTTTTGTTATTGATTTCATTTTCTTAACATATATTGGTGCTTATTATGAAACTTTTTCTTGATGATAAAAATGATTATTGTCAGCAAACTTGTTTTGTAATTTACCGCATGTATTACATATTAATGGTAAAAGCTTTTATTATGGTATTCATCTCGTATATTAAATCATCACTGTTGAAACAATGGAATGTACAGTTTTCCTTTCCTTTAGCTACTGGTAAGTCAGATCGACCAGGTCAATTAAATAACATTAATGTTACAGGTTTTTTTTTCAGATATTATTTTTCTGCTTCAACTTTATGACTTACATGTCATCTGAAGAATTCTCAGTTTCAAACAAAAGGTAAGAGTTACATTTAAACTGTGATTGATGTTACATGTACCTTTATCAAGCTGAAAATAAATCTGCGAAAGTTGAATCATAGTCGTAAAAATACTTCTCAAAAATGGTTTAAAAGCAGTTAAACCCCACTTCCTCGAACTCGGATTACTCAAATACCCGTCACTGTCAAACAGTTTGTGCATACTCTTTATAAAGTTACCCCGGATTAGCCGAACCGTTATTCCTTGAATACCTAGTATTCCTCGTACAAAATTGAGTTCCCGACTCTTCATGGTCATAGATAGGATTACTACTATGACCATGAAGAGTCGGGAACTCAATTTTGTTCGAGGAATACTAGGTATTCAAGGAATAACGGTTCGGCTAATCCGGGGGAACTTTATAAAGAGAATGCACAAACTGTTTGACAGTGAGGGGTATTTGAGTAATCCGAGCTCGATGAAGTTGGGTTTAACTCCATTTCAACCATTTTTGTGAAGGATTTTTACGATTATGATGCAACTTTCACAGATTCATTTTCAGTTTGATAAAAGTACATGTACCATCATCACAGTTTGTTAAAGGCACATGTACCATCAATAACAGTTTGTTAAAGGAAACTGTACCATCAATCACTGTTTGATAAAGGTACATTTCCCATCAATCACAGTTTGATAAAAGTACATGTACCATCAAACACAGTTTGTTAAAGGCACATGTACCATCAATAACAGTTTGTTAAAGGCACATGTACCATCAATAACAGTTTGTTAAAGGCACATGTACCATCAATAACAGTTTGTTAAAGGTTCATGTACCAACAATCACAGTTTGATAACGGTACATGTACCATCTATCTTAGTTTGATAAAGGTATATATACCATCAATCACAGTTTAAATGTAACTCTTACCTTTTGTTTGAAACTGAGAATTCTTCAGATGACATGTAAGTCATAAAGTTGAAGCAGAAAAATAATATCCGAAAAAAAAAACCCGTAACATTAATGTTATTTAATTAACCTGGTCGATCTGACTTACAAGTAGCTAAAGGAAAGGAAAACTGTAATGTATCATCAATCACAGTTTAAATGTAACTCTTACCTTTTGTTTGAAACTGAGAATTCTTCAGATGACATGTAAGTCAAAAAGTTGAAGCAGAAAAATAATAACTGAAAAAAAAACCCGTAAAATTAATGTTATTTAATTGACCTGGTCGATCTGACTTACAAGTAGCTAAAGGAAAGGAAAACTGTAATGTATCATCAATCAGTTTGATAAAGGTTCATGTATCATCAATCACAGTTTAAATGTAACTCTTACCTTTTGTTTGAAACTGAGAATTCTTCAGATGACATGTAAGTCATAAAGTTGAAGCAGAAAAATAATATCTCAAAAAAAAACCCGTAAAATTAATGTTATTTAATTGACCTGGTCGATCTGCCTTACCAGTAGCTAAAGGAAAGGAAAACTGTAATGTATCATCAATCACAGTTTGTTAAGGGTACATGTACCTTTATCAAACTGAAAATAAATCTGTGAAAGTTGAATCATAATCGTAAAAATACTTCACAAAAATGGTTTAAATGCAGTTAAACCCCACTTCCTCGAACTCGGATTACTCAAATACCCCTCACTGTCAAACAGTTTGTGCATACTCTTTATAAAGTTACCCCGGATTAGCCGAACCGTTATTCCTTGAATACCTAGTATTCCTCGAACAAAATTGAGTTCCCGACTCTTCATGGTCATAGTAGTAATCCTATCTATTCGTCGAACAGGTGTAACATGTCACACCTGACAGATATTTTACCTGTATATCCCACGAATAGCTCGGGCTTACAGATATTTTACCTGTGTATCACGCCTGACAGATATTTTACCTGTGTATCACGCCTGACAGATATTTTACCTGTGTATCCCTAGAATAGCTCGAGCTAAGACTACAATTTACCAGTATCTGCGACATGCTTAATAATAGCCTAAGTATCGTTTTACAATGCTTACATATTTTTGATTATTATAACTCAAGATTTGACAGATATATACTTGACAATCTAGGACCAACCTTGGAATACTTGAATACCATGTATTCCTCGAACTATTGATCTTGGCCCCATGAGTTCGAGTAAATGGGGTTATTCCCAAAGCAACAGTTATCAAATAAGTATACAGTATATTCTTGTTGCTGAAAATGACATTTTATGATTATATGCTATTATACAATAAATTTGAAAACATGAATCCGTTATGGCTTTTGATGTCATAGTCAATTGAATTACAGTTTATATTAAGCTCTGCACAAAAAATGACTTGTATGATAATTATAATTAAGTAGTTTATAATTACGAATGAAAAATAACAACTGTTTCTCACTTCTGTCTCATCACTGAAGTTCAAATAGCCATACGTTTTCATTGATCACACATTTCTTCTTTGTGCACTCGTATGTCACATAAGAGTGACCTTGACCTTATTCTTTGTCTATTTATTGTAACATAAGGAAGCCAAGCAGAATAGATTCCGAGTGCAATATGGAGGGTGTTTTACTGGGTAAGTTTTTTATCAATTTCCCATCGGAGTAAAAGATTTAAGGTGCAGAGACAACAGAATGTTTTGGAGTAGAGAATAAGATCTGTTGAGACGTGTAAAATACCTTCCTTTGTTGATAGGACATGTCATGACATTATTTTCACAGTACAAGTCATCCCTACATATGTATGTACAAATATGACCATTTCTCTCTGATATAGAATAATATTTAATCCCCAACTCGAGATTGGATGCAAATCACGATGGTGACCACATTTTTGGGATAGTATCAGTTCATGAACTTCCAGCTCTCCTGCAAATTTATCTTCTCGGAGAGCTGTATTTAATTTTTAGCTCACCTTTCCTGAGCTTATGCCATGTCGCAACGTCCATCGTCAGTTCGTCATCTTTTCCTTTAAAGCGCTACTAGTCCTGAACAGCTTAATGGATGTTTAGGTCACCTGAGCATTAGCTCAAGTGACCTATTGCTATCCGTTTTCGTCCGTCGTCGTCCGTCGTCCGTCGTCCGTTAACATTTTACATTTCAAACTTAAAGTCAAGTTCTGCTGGGCCGATTGAACTGAAAGTTGGTAGGAATGATCGCCTCATGGTCCTGACAAAGTGTTGTTATTTTTCGGGTCGATCAGAAATCCAATATGGCCGCCACGGCCGCCATTTTGAAAACCTATTTCAAACTTAAAGTCAAGTTCTGCTGGACCGATTGAACTGAAAGTTGGTAGGAATGATCGCCTCATGGTCCTGACAAAGTGTTGTTATTTTTCGGGTCGATCAGAAATCCAATATGGCCGCCACGGCCGCCATTTTGAAAACCTATTTCAAACTTAAAGTCAAGTTCTGCTGGACCGATTGAACTGAAAGTTGGTAGGAATGATCGCCTCATGGTCCTGACAAAGTGTTGTTATTTTTCGGGTCAATCAGAAATACAATTTGGCTGCCATGGCCGCTATTTTGCTACTAAGTTCTAATAGGCCGATCTCACTTAAAATTGGTCTAGGAATGATCAGCTCATGGTCCTGACAAAGTTAAGTTAACATTATACTATTTTTTACTCAAATTGGTACATATTTCAACAACAAAAATAAATACTGTAGACTCAGGTGACCGTTTAGGCCCATGGGCCTCTTGTTAACTAAATTTGGTCTGGAGCATCCTTGCGCCAAGGGCACTCGATTTTGTATAAACGGTGGGTGTGGCCCCCCCCTGGGGTGCAGAGAATTAAAGCAGGGCCCAATAGGGGAAATACATTTTAAAATCCTACTTCTAGTGTAGGGATTAAGGGATTTCATCTCAATTTAGTCTGGAACATCCTTATGCCAAGGGCACTCAATTTGTATAAACGATGGGCGTGGAGCGGGACCAAGCAGGGGAAATAGAGTTAAAACTTTAAAAATACTCCTCCTAGTGTAGGGATGAAGGGATGTTATCCTTATTTAGTCTGAAGCATCCTTGGGCCAAAGGGATTGAATTTTGTATAAAAGGTGGGTGCCCCCCCCCCCCTGGGGGCAGAGGGGTTGGCCTGAATAGGTAAACCTTTAAAATCCTTTTTCTACCATAGGGATTAAGGATTTCATCCCAATTTTGTCTATAGGATCCTTGGGCCAAGGCCACTTAATTTTGTATAAATGGTGGGTGTGGCCCCCAGGGCAGAAGGGCAGGGCCGAAATAGGGAAATAGAAGATAAACCTTTGAAATCCTTCTTCTACCATGCATAAGGATTACAGGATTTTGTCCCAATTTTGTCTCCATCAAGTTGTCTAGTAGTGCCTGTTACTATAGCTAGTAGGATGTATTCATTAAAACAAAATGGCCACCAGGCCGCCATCTTGGATTTTGACATACTGGATACTGGAATACTGGATGGATCTTCCTAAAATTTTATATGTACATACAGTACCTACCATTGAGTGCTATATGTTTATCTCATATCAAGTACTTTTAACATTAAACATATCCAACTGAGCGATAAAGGCCCGCTGGCTCCTTGTTATTATATCAAGTATTGGACATTTTATAATGCATCTTGAATTGCACTTTCTTTTTGCCATTCTGAAATATTACAGTAGCTAAACTTAATTGATACTTTTCCTGTGATCGTAGAAACTGACCCTCGTCGCCATAGTTACCGTGGCAGTAACACCAGTATTAGTAGTGTGGGCAGTTCTGGTCAGGACCCTGCACTGGCCACTTTTCACATAAACTCTGACGAGGACACATTTACACCGGGCATGGCGTAAGTAGACCATCTTTAAGAAAGAGTAGAACTGTAGTACTGTTAGCTATATTTACATGGATTTTTAGGAAATATGTTTTTTCATATTTAAATTCATGAAGTGACATAAATTTGTCGCAAAAATCAACTGTTAAGAGCAATTATTGTTTAATTTCATGAAAACAATTCACATAATTATAACTAAGTATTTTTTAGAACAGTAGCAAAAATTAAGTCATGCACATTGGTGAAAATCATGCAATACTGGTATGTGGTAATTTCAACTTGTGAGGTTTAGAAGAGAAAAATGTTTTTCTTAATTGTGTTCGTGTGTAAAGCAGGAAAGGAAAATCAGTTTAATGTAAATTGCAACTAAATTGACAATATGGTATTATATCAGGATTTCGTGTAAATGTTTTTCCTCTGACAGAGTTATCTCCCCTTGTTTGAGCCAGAGTTATCTCCCCTTGTTTAATAGGAGCCCAAATGTAGTGATGCCTGCACACCACAGACAGACGCCCCTGAGACCAGGCATAGATGGGGCTGTCCACTTTCATGTGACTCACCCATCAGCTTCCAGCTCTAGTCCCGTGGCCGTCCCTAGCAGTGTTAGACATCTGGCAGACACTGGCAGGGCCAGCTCCCCCGCATGTGGCAGGTCAGTGATAAATGTCTCCCAATGTTCGACATTGTGGCTCTCCTGTATGTTATAATGACTGTAGATAGAAGATATTTTAAATGCTTGAAACATACTTACGGGGTATTTTATAGAATACCCAAATTTTTGCACAGTATCACATTTTAACCCGAATGTTAGTGTAACGATGAATTGGTGCATGCACCCACAATATGTGCAAAAGAAAATGTTACGCATAAACTGGAATTAATATAACGATACTTCAACACTATATTTCATGCACGAAAAGTGCTAAAATAAGATAACCACAAAATTATGTACATTTCCAGGAATTCCATTTTATATAAAATGGTGTTGCTTGTGTATGTCAAAACTACAAATTTCAAGGAATTGGGTACTATTAATAGATCATAGTAATATGCTCCTACCTCATGTTGTAGCAGTTTAAAGATGAAGTGGTTAGCCAATTTACATATATATACATTTTTGTCCAAGTACATTTTCATATATAATGTGTTTATATGGAGAGATCTCTTGTCCCATAATAATTTCAAAGGGAGATGTATTTTATCAATGAGTTTACTTGACCCAGTTGGCAGGTGATCTCCAGTACGGGTAGTTTGAGAGGTTACGCCACCTCCAGTGACTCCCCGCAGTCCTTCGGCTCCCTCACAGATAGCTCCGCTTCCAGTAGTAGGCTAAGCTCGTAAGTATTCATATCTCTCTATATATTGACAGTGAATTGATATGACTTGGCTCATGTTCAGTTATGTCACCCTTTGCTAAGTGAATTCAGGTAAACTGATATCAGACTGAATTCAGGTAAATTGATATCACTCTGAATTCAGGTAAATTGATATCACTCTGAATTCAGGTAAATTAATATCGCCCCTTAAGACTCTGATGTTATTCAATTAAAGCCTTTGGTTGAGGTCGATAAATCCAGGTATTGACCGAAGTTAAAGGCTACAATTGTTTTATTATTTTACAAAACAGTAATGTAAGCAATCTGAAAAAAAACACACAACAAAAAAGCTTCGGAAGTGGGACGGTGCATTGTTTGGAGACACGTCATAATTCTATTTTTAGAAACACCCAGTCCTTCAACATAAACCGCGCGCTCCAAGTCAATATCGGTTTTTATCGGTGGACACGAGATGCACTCCTGGCCAATCACTTGTCGGAAATAATATGAAAAAATAATAACACCCATTACTTTGGCTGAGCTGAACTTGGGTAAAATATCACTACTATAAATTACCTCTCATCTCATGAAGATACACAATTAGTGGCTAAACCTAGCTTGATATAACAAAAAGAATTAAATATTGGTATAAATAAGTACTGTACATGTATGTAATATTTCCTTTTTCTGCTTATTCTATTTCTTAAGGTGTGAGTTACAGATTGTCACAATAAACATTCAAAAATCAACAAGTTAAAAGTAGGGTTCTTTAGAAATTTCTAATAATGCTTTAAAAAAAATATAGAGTTTGTTCTGCATTTACAGCTGTATAAAGTACATTGTTTTATAGTTTTTGGATATTAAATCTTTAATATTTATATTTATGATGTATGATCCATAACTTTATACGCATTTACATACCATTACTATCTGTCTGTAGATGCTGTGAAGCAACAGAAATACAAGAAACAACACGGTGGAAAAAGTTGGACTTGGTTAGAAAAATATTCCATAATGCATACGCTAACAAAATAGTGTGTAAACATAGTCGCGATGCTAGCAGTATTGGAATGTTACTGGACCAGTTTGCTGAGAAAGTGGGTATCCGTGGCAACAGAAATACATTTGTTTAATATGTTGGAGGAGAAAATAGTGCTGTTTGTGATACTGACTTCATTTGCTTTAGTTGGATGTATGTACATACATTTGGGGATCAGTCTTTGTGCTTGGTGTATGATAGAATATGTGGGGAATAATCCTCCTGTTTGATGTATTAGGGTACATGTCGGGGACAGTCCTTGTGTGCACTGTATGTGGGGTACATTTGGGGGATACTGTCGTATTTGATATATGAGGGTACATCTGATGGACAGTCCTTATGTTAAGGTGTATTTGGATACATGAAGGGGACAGTCCTTATATGTGCTGTCAGTGGAGTACATCGGGGGAACAGTCCTTGTGTCAAGTATTACAGTACATCTAGGAAACAGTTCTTGAGGGTGATGTATAAGTATGAGGCATTATTTAGGAGACAATCCTTGTGTGTGCTTTAATTTATATGGCATACATCTCGGGGACAGCTCTTTTGGGTGGTGTATGAGGCATTATCTAGGAGACAATCCTCGTGTGTGCTTTAATTTATATGGCATACATCTTGGGGACAGTTTTTTTGGGTGGTGTATGAGACATTATCTAGGAGACAATCCTCGTGTGTGCTTTAATTTATATGGCATACATCTCGGGGACAGCTCTTTTGGGTGGTGTATGAGGCATTATCTAGGAGACAATCCTCATATGTGCTTTAATTTATATGGCATACATCACGGGGACAATTCTTTTGGGTGGTGTATGAGGCATTATCTAGGAGACAATTCTCGTGTGTGCTTTTATTTATATGGCATACATCTCGGGGACAGTTCTTTTGGGTGGTGTATGAGGGAACATCTGATGGACAGTCCCTGTTTAAGGGTGTATGGAGGAACATTTGGAAGACAGTTCTTGTTCACTCTGTATGTGTGGTGCTTCAGCCGGGAAGGCAGAGATTGATTTTTCATGTTGTTGTATGGAAAAAATCTTCTAAAGAAATCCTTGTGCTGTTTATGTAAGTTAAACTTTCCGATGTGTAACTGTAAATAATATATTAAACAATTGTTGTACGGTGTTGTCTTTGTGACCTGTCCTGTTGACCTTCCTGTAGAATATTCCTATGTGATGTATAAGTGGATGACGGTGTCAGTCAACAACATGGGATGATTCCCATATATCTTAAAACAGGCTGTGGCTTAGTTTTTATTTGAAGTCTTTTGGCCAGTTTTAAGGCTAGCTGACACTTAAACATGTTCAGGTCTTGATCAGATGTGTTGTGTTTTATATGTATATATATTCTTAAAGTCATAACATGCGATTGCTGAGATATGTTTAGTGGTAGATATATCTGAAAATCATTTCCGGCTTTATTAATTACAGGAATTAATTATCATGTACTCTGTCTGCAGTGTAATACATTTTTGATATACATAGAACAGGTTTAACTCATTCACCCCTACATGTTTAAACTAGACTTGCTCAGTCTTTGATTTGTTAAGGTTTAAATGTGATCATAAATGATCAATATCACCCATTGTGACACCACAAAAAAAGTAGTCCGGCTGTGTTTAATTTCCTGCATTTCAGAAAAATCATGAAAGCTTATTTCATTACAGTCATATGTATTTGATAATAACATAAAATATATATATTAACAGTTTAATATTAAATATTTTGGTTGAAATATTCCAAATTTATGGGCTGGAAGTTTATTCTCAACCTATCTTATTTTCAAAATCATTTTGACTGTAAGAAATCCATAACTTATTTTCACATATTGAGTTCGTAGATTTTAGACCAAATCTAGCATACTGCATGCATCCACTACCCCTGCAGGGAGGTGTGAAAACCCCTGACACATCGGTACCCACTGATAGGTTAATTATAACCAAAGGTCAACATGAAAGGTCACCAGCCACACTTACACAGAAATTGAAGGCAATCTGATGTTTTACCATGATGTATACATATCAGAGAAGTTTGAATGTCGAGGGATCAATTTGTATGTATGCAGCTTCAGATATATGTATGTCGTCAGTCACTTCAGATATATGTATGTCGTCGGTCACTTCAGATATATGTATGTCGTCAGTCATTTTAACTAGTTTTTAGCTTTACAACATTCTTTTGTATCTGTGATCAAACTGTTTTATTTTAATATGTAAAACAGCGTATGATAAGAAATGTATTGAATCTAATTTCATGTTTATTATGTTTATTTATGCCATCAGTTGCATCTGATAAAAAAACGTTTGTTCAAGTACAGATATTCTTTATACTGAAAAGATCGCTGTAATTTTCTCTGTATCTTTTTAATATTTGACGTATACAGTATCTATATACAATTTTTGTTTGTACATCAAAATGTTCACACTACATTTAAATCTCATCATACTGGTAATTTATCATGTGATTATTTTAAAATAAGTAAAAAATCACCTATGTCTTATTTTTCATTTGAAATAATATGAATAATTAGCCATACCCTAATATGGCTAGTTATTTTGATGACAGAAAAAGATAATAAAAGTACAGCACAGATTTCCAGATTATATCACAATAAAAACAATAGAGCTGAAATGGCAGAGTTTTGGAGACTTGAAGATTTTTATGGGGAGACATGTTTTTGGCAATATTCCCAAAATTTTCAATCATCTGATTAAAAGAACCTCAAATTTGTTTCCATTTCATTCAAGATTTATGAGACGCGTTGTAGATTTTTCATTTTTGTTCACTAGGAAATCACTAAAATGACAATTTCTTTAGACTTGTTTCTATAAATCTTATTTGAAAAGGAAATTCATGTAAGATCCTGTATATAAACAGATGTTTGTTTGTGTTTTACGTCCTATGAACAGCTACGGTCATTTAAGGACGTGCCAGGTTTTGTGACTTCCCAGAGAAAAAATACTTACCTGTAACCAGTACCTGGCCATTGGCCTAAGTAAGCCTCAAACCCACGACCCAGTGGTGGAGGGTTAGTGGGAGCAAAATGTCAACCAGCTAATTACCACTGGGCCATCGCTGCCCCTACATCAGTACCTCTGTCTAGGTGCATAATTAAACATGCTTACTCACCAACCTTCAGGTAACATTTGGCTCCTGGTAAGGAATTCTTATTCTTACATGAACATCAAACGTGTACTTTGAAAACCTGACAATTCCTTTGTCCTATCAGTCCCGTTATTAATATATATATATTAAAAGTGATTCACTGGGGTAGGTTTGCTGTACCATATCGTTTATAAAAATACTCAGTTTTATAGTCATGGCGCTTCCTCATCAAAACTGCTTTTAATAAGCTGCCCATTATTATTTTTTCATACCACCTCTTACAAACTGAAATACTGGGAAGACATATAATGATTTGCTACATCTAGTGCCCTATGCTTTCCTGCTGAATTCTGTTTTATGTAATATTTGATTGAGGAAATGGATTTTGACCTTTTCACATCACCAGTTATCATCACCTCAAGTTTTCAACCTGCGTTTTTTGTTTTCAACAACAAATCCTATACTCTCAGTGATTTATCTATTACCAGGTAGTGAATAAAATTGAACCTTTTTGATTTAAAAGTTGTTAACATTTAAACATATTCATCTTCAAACCACATCCTTTAGTTGGTGCTTGACCTTGGTTTGATCTGGACCCTGACCTTGGTTTTCTAGTTCATGACGTTAATGGTTTGGGTTTGAGCCAGTTCATGAATTTAGTTTGCTTGATCTATTCAAAACTCACACGTTCATGACCTTGGTACAATTTGAATTCAGGAATTATCTACAACTTTATGATGGAAATGCTGTATTTAATGAGAAAGTCACTATGGAAAATATGCTTCTCATATTCTAACTTTTGTACAAAGAAAGAACCAATATCTTTACAAATTTATCACTATGATGTATTGCCTTAATACAAGAAAAGGAACATTCTTATATTCATGATAACATTTTGTGTATAATAAATAATAAGTTGTCATTGATGGAAAAAAGTTATGATTTGAAAAGGGTCTTTTCTATAATAGCTTAATTGTTTTATCTACAATTTCAAAACTCGAAATGTTCCCCGATATATTTTGAGAAATAATTGTTTCTGTTAATAAATAATTTATTATGTTAATTTTTGAAAGTATGGTGAAATTAATTGCATAGCATTAGAAAAAACTTCGCCAAAGTGAAAAAATAAAATTTAACAAAAAATGTGAGAACTTGTTGTGTGATAGACTGAAGGTTGTAAAAATCAACGTTTCTAAGAAACGAATAACTCCATATATGATGAATGTATGTTATATTTTGTTTAAAGTGTGTAAGTTTCAAGAGCAGTGTATCTTGTCATTTTAACTTTATTTAAGTTTCTATGTTTAAAACATGTGCCAAACACTCGTGTAATAGGAGGGAGAAAGGTACATGTAGAATGAAAGACAAGAACTACAGCTGTCCTCTCTGTGAGTTTGATTTTTGTATTTTATTATGTGAACAAAACTTCAACATTATTTTCACAATCTTACCTATTTCTATACCATACTAATTATTAAGTACCCCAAGAAAACTCACGAACCTTCTTTTTTTTTTAATTATTACTCAATTAAAAATGTTTCCAAAAAAATCTTACCCCTATTTCTCTGTAGGTATGTTAATTATTGTATTCTTGTAGAGAATTAAATTTCAAAAAAGTTTTAAAGAAATTAACAGATTTTCTGACAGAATTTTATAAAGATTTACTTGTTCACTGCGGTGACTCATTTTAAAGTCTTTAAAATGAAGGAAGAATTTTAGAAACCATTTGAATATTTCGTAAACACTATCAAAACATGAAAAGAACAAAATAATCTAATGTGATAGACTGTTGGTTGTGATATACATGGATTCAGGTGCAGAGTCTAATTTGCTTAACAGCAACTTACTGAAAAATGCAAAAGCATGAATATAGTTATATTTGATGAGAACTAAAACCTTCTGTAGAGATTAAAAATGCCACCCTACAGACTGTTAACACAAAACTATTTTTGGAAATGTTTTGATACTTCTCAAGAATTCAATTTAAAAAATTTGTTTTAACAAGTCTTTCTGTATTTCAAGAATTAAGCCCTGAACTTGTTCTGCAAGAGTCTGAGTGAGAATTTTGTTTGTAAAACGTTTGAATGAATGTGAGTGAGATCACCATGACTATATTTATTGATGTTTAAACAGCTGTGTTATTTAAAGTTTTTTGTTTGTCACGGCAGTGATTTGCCCTCTTTGATTTTAATGTATGCTTAAAATTTGAAATGTTTAATAATTTATATACCATACCATATATATATATTATGTATTCATGATTTTTCCATCTTCATTTTATATCTTTCCAACAGAATTTGATGGTGATTCATTCCTTAACGTTGATTCTTTGAGGACATATGTCAATACCAGTGGTGGGAATGTACCTAGTGGCCTACTACATGACAATGTATGTGTTATTCTTGAAAGGACACGGTATCCTAGAATTTGGGAAATTTTAAAGATGCACTCAGTTAGGTTGTTAAAAACTAAGTTGATTTGCAATTAATATAGACAAATTCATTTGATTTATTGTTTATTGAAGAGAACCTAGCTTGTACACAACTTAATGAAATTATCTTTGTGAGCACTTTGTTAATAATGATTATCCTTCAGTGTTGGTGAAAATGACATGGAGAGTACATCCTTATATTTGACACAAAGCGTCTGATGGATGAGAGAATATTTTCCTTTTAAAATGACACCCCTGTTTGTTCAAAGCCATAATCAAAATTAATTATGTAGTCGTAAACATAAAGTTATTTTGAAAATAAGTATACTATCACTTAATTGGCACACATAGTTTTGTAATATATCGTGTGATATATACTAACATATAATAGGATTAAGATTATCAGAGTCCATAAAGAGCAAAATACAACGATACATAGTATAAGTTACTGTACATGCTTAATTATTGCCCTCTGTTTAGGGCACTGCTTTCCAACAGATTTTTATCATAAAGGAGATAATTTTGATTTATACTTTATCAGAAAAGTATGGAATTACTTGATCCCTTTATTATTGTGCCTTTAAGTTTCAAAAGGAGAAAAATAATAGAAAAAAGTGCTTTAAATGTAAGCTTCTTTCTATATCCTTACAAGTCTGGGAGAGTAACATCTGGAACACTTTTTGAGTTAAGCACTACAGTAAGGGGAATCTGAAGGAGAAATCTGCATTTAATAAATAACCATTTCATGTGAAGGAGTTTGAAGGAAGATGGTGTGTGTTTACCCTAAAGGGTGTCAACTTACTAGGACACGACTGAGTATTTGTTATATATAGATATATATGTACATATTTGAGAAATATTAAATATTATAACCTGATAACTATTGAAGTGTGTTGTGTTTTATTTGATGAAGAACAAAGATGAATAATTGAGAGGGGTAGAAGCTTCAGATTCCTAATTAGTCAAAGTGTTGACATTTTAGTGATCAATGGTGGAAGGCAAGGCAAAGTGTTTCATACCATTAATAAGTCTACACCCAAGCTCAAGGTCACATTTAGGTCAGAGGTAAAATTCATTGTCTGGGCCACAATTTCTGACTTTCTGAAGATAGCTCAATGAAATGTAAGGGATTAAATGTATGACTGCAATAAGGTGGGTTGCAAACCTCGGTTGGGCCCGTGCACCCAAGGTCAATTTGAGGTCAACGGTCAAATACATTGTTGGGGCTATAATTTTTCACTTGATAAGACAGCTCGATGAAATTTTAGGGATACACAAAATGCAAGTAGGAAAACAAAGTGATGTTTCTACCACTATTGATACTGTATATATCTATCTAATGTCAAGGTCACAGAGGTCGAAAATTCAAATTCATTGCCCTAGCCATAAATTCCGACTCTGAAGACAGCTCTATGAAATTTGTTGGATAAATGGATGTAATGTTTCAAACACACAGTCAAGGTCAGATTGAGGTCAAAGGTCAATCACATTGTCCAGGCTATTATAAGCTTCTCACTAAAGATACCTCATTGAAGTTTTAGGGAAGTATGAAGGATGACAAGGCCTTATGTAACGTGCCACTAATGGGGGTCTGTATGCCTAAGGACAATTACAAGGTCATATGAAGGTCAAAGGTCAAATTCAATATCCTGAGCCATAAGCTCCGTTTGCTGAATAAAACTCAATTAAATTTTAGGCATATATGTAGGATGGCAAGGCGGTGTTGCATACCACTTTGGGTATTGCCAGGGTCAACCTGCTGTCCAGAACATAGGCATTTCTCAGTGATCTTTTTGGGGAGCATTCATAAGTTTTATGAGATTCTTATTAAACACAATTTCAGTTTCCAATTTTACCTAAACAATTGCAGAGATATCATTAATGCCACAATGACAACTTTATCTATTACTGTACCAATAAAGCAGTCTAGTATGACACTGGTCAAGCTGCAGCATACAATTATTTTGTGTTGTCCAAGTCCAGATACATTTTACAACCTGTAACAATGGAATGGCTTGAATACACAAATTTAATTTCTAATTTTACCAATATATTGTCAGTTTCAATTATTTTTGGATGTCTTTGAAGTTAGGAAACAATATTCATGAGAATAGTAGTATTCATCATTATATTTCAGCATCCAGCTGGGTGCCCATCGCTGCCCCTAAAATAGTCTCGCAACAGCTGGTACACTGACATAAAAAATACATAAAAAACAGTATCATTTGGCACATTGTTTTATTGTAATGATTTATGCATCTTTTAATTACCTTTACAATGTAAATACACTAGGGATGCCACATGTAAAAATTCACTTAAAGCTTCAACAACAATTATATATCAATTAACAAAAGTAATAAATGAACAACAGTTAATAATAATACAATATTTTGCCCGAAAAACTGGCACTACATCCCTTCATCACATTAAAATTGCTTCACAGTTCACTAAATTTGTTTCAAGACCAACTCGATTCATCACCCCATGAAACTGACCAAAGCAAGATTCAGTCCTTAAATGAATTTTAATAGTATGTTCAGGGTAAACTATAAGGTCACAACACAATGGTTTACATTACAATAAAAACTCTATATTGATGACCTAAATATATATAGGTTTTAAACTCAGAGTTAAAGAAAATAAAAATCATTAAAATTAATAACAACCTATCAAGTCTAAAGGGTCCTTAAAGCATTGTCACACTGTACTGTAGTTTTACCTATAAACAGTTACCTCCCATTAAGGGTCCTTGTCCCACTATACTGTAGTTTTACCTATAAACAGTAACCTCCCCTTAAGGATCCTTGTCCCACTGTACTGTAGTTTTACCTATACACAGTAACCTCCCATTAAGGATCCTTGTCCCACTGTACTGTAGTTTTACCTATAAACAGTAACCTCCCATTTAGGGTCCTTCTCCCACTGTACTGTAGTTTTACCTATAAACAGTAACCTCTCCTTAAGGGTCCTTGTCGCACTGTACTGTAGTTTTACCTATAAACAGTAACCTCCCATTTAGGGTCCTTCTCCCACTGTACTGTAGTTTTACCTATAAACAGTAACCTCCCATTAAGGGTCCTTGTCCCACTGTACTGTAGTTTTAACTATAAACAGTAACCTCCCCTTAAGGATCCTTGTCCCTCTGTTCTGTAGTTTTACCTATACACAGTAACCTCCCATTAAGGGTCCCTGTCCCACTGTACTGTAGTTTTACCTATAAACAGTAACCTCTCCTTAAGGGTCCTTGTCGCACTGTACTGTAGTTTTACCTATAAAAAGTAACCTCCCCTTAAGGATCCTTGTCCCACTGTACTGTAGTTTTACCTATAAACAGTAACCTCCCCTTAAGGATCCTTGTCCCATTGTACTGTAGTTTTACCTATAAACAGTAACCTCCCATTTAGGGTCCTTGTCCCGCTGTACTGTAGTTTTACCTATAAACAGTAACCTCCCCTTAAGGGTCCTTGTCCCACTGTACAGTAGTTTTACCTATACACAGTAACCTCCCATTAAGGGTCCTTGTCCCACTGTACTGTAGTTTTATCTATAAAAAGTAACCTCCCATTAAGGATCCTTGTCCCACTGTACTGTAGTTTTACCTATACACAGTAACCTCCCCTTAAGGGTCCTTGTCCCACTGTACTGTAGTTTTACCTATAAACAGTAACCTCCCCTGAAGGATCCTTATCCCACTGTATTGTAGTTTTACCTATAAACAGTAACCTCTCCTTAAGGGTCCTTGTCCCACTATACTGTAGTTTTACCTATAAACAGTAACCTCCCATTAAGGGTCCTTGTCCCACTGTACTGTCGTTTTACCTATAAAAAGTAACCTCCCCTTAAGGGTCCTTGTCCCACTGTACTGTGGTTTTACCTATAAAAAGTAACCTCCCCTCAAGGATCCTTGTCCCACTGTACTGTAGTTTTACCTATAAACAGTAACCTCCCTTTAAGGGTCCTTGTCCCACTGTCCTGTGGTTTTACATATAAAAGTAACCTCCCCTGAAGGGTCCTTGTCCCACTGTACTGTAGTTTTACCTATAACCAGTAACCTCCCTTTAAGGGTCCTTGTCTCACTGTCCTGTGGTTTTACATATAAAAGTAACCTCCCCTGAAGGGCCCTTGTCCCACTGTACTGTAGTTTTACCTATAAACAGTAACCTCCCCTTAAGGGTCCTTGTCCCACAGTACTGTGGTTTTACCTATAAACAGTAACCTCCCCTTAAGGGTCCTTGTCCCACTGTACTGTAGTTTTACCTATAAACAGTAACCTCCCCTTAAGGGTCCTTGTCCCACTGTACTGTAGTTTTACCTATAAAAAGTAACCTCCCCTTAAGGGTCATTGTCCCATTGTACTGTAGTTTTACCTATAAACAGTAACTTCCCATTAAGGGTCATTGTCCCACTGTACTGTAGTTTTACCTATAAACAGTAACCTCCCATTAAGGGTCCTTGTCTCACTGTACAGTAGTTTTACCTATACACAGTAACCTCCCCTTAAGGGTCCTTGTCCAACTGTACTGTAGTGTTACCTATAAACAGTAACCTCCCATTAAGGGTCCTTGTCCCACTGTACTGTAGTTTTACCTATAAAAAGTAACCTCCCATTAAGGGTCCCTGTACCACTGTACTGTAGTTTTACCTTTAAACAGTAACCTCTCCTTAAGGGTCCTTGTCCTCCTGTACTGTAGTTTTTCGTATCTACAAAAACTTCCCTGTATAGTTTGTTTTGGATAAATGTAGCACAGTTGGGCCAGTACTCTTCCATTGCGACCAATTAGCTCAATCGGTTAAAGGGATAGTTTAACAATCTGAGATCAAAGGTCAAGGTCAAATCGAGATCAAAGCTTCGTAGGTCAACAAGGTAAGGTTTTCTATTCCGAAACAATTTAAACAGTTTCAAATGCATCGTTATGTTTTGGCAGTGAAGTGGGGATTGTAAGATAGGACAAAGCTAAATCCAAACAAAGGCCAGTACTTTGTAACCTACCTTAAAACATTGTCAAAAATTAAGCTTGGGCTCATCAGAGAAAAAATAGGCTACAAAATGAAATCCAGAATACCAGCATGACAAATTCACCAGTATTGTAAAACTCAAATCAAGCAAAAGTCATTTGCAAACATATTAATAATATCACTATACATTTATATTTTCCAAAAACGATTTTAGAATTTTTGCCTGTAATTACAACTGGTGTACCGATAACTGACCAATTTCAGTTGTCAAATATCAGAAAATCAGGAATTTCGACTGGTTATGTGATTGCAGATTTTTAATGAAATTAACATCATAATAATTTTGACACCAAGGGCCAATTTAATCCTATTATTTTATCAAACAATTTCTTTCCAGGGCTCCAATTGACAAAAAATATCAATTCATATAGATATAAATGGTTTATACATTGTATAAAACTAATATTCAATTTCTAAAAAATTACAAAGATAGATAAATAAATCACAATTTATATAAGTTTGATAATGTATACATTGTTCTTTGGTTATTATTATACACATAATACTACCTGTAATATGAACTAGAACACAAGAACACATCCTAATCTCACTGCATTTGTTATCACCTTCCGATCTGAAGGCAAATTTAACACGATAGTGTTTTTTTGGTTTTTTTTAAGTATATGGCACATGTTTTGTCACTATTTTTAGTAATGGGGAATTTCTACTGCTTGCGGTGTAGGGCGAACAAGGACTCTGCCAGTGAAGGGCGAAAGTTTAACGGGGCGAAAGTTTAACGGGGTGAAAGTTGGCGAAAGTTAAACGGGGTGAAAGTTGGCGAAAGTTTAACGGGACGAAAGTTAACTTCGTAGAGTGATAATGCTGTTACGAATCCAAATAGAAGTATATAGCTTCATGGAAACCTCGGATGTTCATCAAATTAAATAAATTTGTACTTGCTTCACAATAGTTATGAAACAAGCTTAAATTTTATCAACTTACATTAATCACTCTAGATCTTGTTTGCCGGATGAAAACCGAAATGGTCAGGCAGGTGACCCCATTCCTTTGATATCTAATATAATCAGGGAATCAAACCAAAGTCATTTCGGTGAAAGGCAGCTCTTCTGTCTACTGGGCCATCTGACCACCCACTGAATGCCTCTGTTACAGCCTACAGTATAACACAATATTTACGTGGGCAATAATTTTTGCAAGTTTGACCCAAAATTAGAAAATTAAATTTACATGGATTAAAATTTTACGATCTTGACATGTGAAGGAGCTAAAGTTTTGCGACGCTTTAGCACAGAGACAAACATTCGGCATATGAAGTGTCAAATAATCAAATGAATAGGCTTTATGACAGCATATTGATCGAGTAACATTATGTAAGTGTATTTTGCTAAACAAATCATCAAGAAAACCATTAGATGTGTGATATAACCTATTCTCAAACAACATTACCGTTTATGTTTGTGAACTGTCACAACCTCATTTGCTCAGGACAAATTAACTGTTACATGTATGTTTATTATCGTGGCTCATTCAGTGGATCACATTTTCACGACCACGTTACTGACCCGCAAAATCATGAAAAATATTGTCCCCGCGGAGATACCCTGCTCTACAGTATCACACCGGGATTGCATGTACATCAGTTGATAGATACAACTTTTACAGGTATTCCATTATATTTTTCAAAACGTAAAATTTACAAAAACATCATATTTATGGCACTGATTTTCCAGTTGATTGTTTACATCAATACCACAATATTGGTATTACCGGTACATCACAATGGTAAATGGCACCTATTTATTTACCATATCGGTGGTTCCATGACAACACTTATACCAACACCGTGTCTGTTACCCATACTTTTGGATTAAGGACAATTTATATTAGCTGTAAATGCACAGGCATTATAATACCTTTGGAACCATTTTGGCATAACCATTCAATTATCATCCATTAATTATATTGAAAAAATACATCTGTATAGGGATTTGTTTTAATTTGAGGAGCTTCAATCAGTTCATAAAGTTTAATGCAACAGGATTGAATTTAAGATTTTTTTTATCATATAATTTTTCTTTCCTGTAATTAACAAATTTTGTAAAATTTAGAGTTACCATGCCACAATTTGTTGGAAAAACTGTGGTTAAAATTGCAGTCATTCCATAAGTAATATATTTATAAGTATAGTGGGATGAAGAGATTTAAAATTTTGATGACTTAATGTCATTTTTATATTAAACCCTACAATGTCCTTTCAAGGTCAAATACAGTATATATTTCCTATAATTATTCATCTTTGAGATTAATTGAAATTAAACATGGTCAAACTGCTCATCATGAAAAATCCTCACTTAACCTTTCATCTGTATAATTTGTGAGTGTTCTATCTGACCGTCTCATAGTTGGCACATCTATTTATACTATAGCACATATTGTCTTCATTTTTCTGGTGATTTTTTTACTTAAACGTTGTTCTCTTATGATGAAGTTGAAATCACAACTTCCTTGTTTTTGTCAAATGTCAAAACTTTCTTGGTTTGGTGAGCCTTTTGATTACAAAACTCACCAAACATCACAATCTTCTTTAGTTGGTAAGGACTGGTGTTCCAGATGACAACAAACAATTCTTGGCTTGGAAAACACTTGGATGATATTGTACATGAGTGTAATAAACAATATCACAACTTCTTTTAGACAAAATCACTAATTCCTTAGCGTGGCAATCACTTTGAAGATAATACAAATACTTTGAAGACAAATTAAGATGACATCACAAATTCCTTGGCTTGGCAAACACTTTGATTCCGTTTTCAGATCGCATCACAATACCGATCTTCTTAGATACTGCATGGTCGGGGTCAAGCTCAAAAGTGAACCTGAATGTTAACAGTTACACAATTCTATTACAAAATTAATGTCACTCAAAGGACAAAGTAAAGTTTCATCAACATAAAATCAGTTTGCAGAGCTAGGATCATCATAATACACTGATGTCAATTATATTTGATTTCAAAGCTTTTATCCCTTAATTGGTATGCAAATTTTACTGATGGCAGGATAATCGTAATTTTGCACAAACATTCAAAGTCTATATAATTAATGGTTCTCCCTAGTAAACATTATTCAGAACAAATAAATGTTACTTCAATGGAATTTCAATGGTTTTAAATACTTGAAAAACTGTTTTTGTCCAGACATTCATCCACTACTAATTGAGAAAGGTCCTTCGGTACATTAATTATAGGACTTCAGCTGATATGAAACATGCATGTTGTCAATTTTCCAGTTTCATATCCCTCTATTTGCTGGAGCTTATATTAACATACCTTCTTAGAAGTCGAGCAAGAGTGACTTTTTGTTCATTCATGGCAAAATGTTGACCTATGCAGTTTCTGAAACAGAATACTGGGTATGATTATGATAGCTTTTCAAATTGTTTCTGAATTTATGTACAACAAAATCTTGACAAATAGAAGTTCATCTCTAAATTTTGGACAAAATTTACATTTGACAACCTTGGAGAATTTAAGAACACAAACACTACCTAGGCCCTGCTGAGAATGGCACAAATGCATAAAAGTCACGGCCAGCGGTGTTCTCCGGAAGGAAGCGTTCCGGTCGGAACTCCATGGGTTCATCCCACACGTCTGGGTTATGGTGAAGGTTGTATATCTGTATGGCTAAGGAGGTTCCCACAGGTATGCGATATCCCTCCACCTCAAACGGCTGGGTGGTTGTTCGTTGTATAAAAGACACTGGTGAATGTAACCTCAGGCCTTCTTTTATACACAAAGTAAGCTTTTCCAACTTTCCTAAATCGCCCCTAAAAATATTTAATATGGAACATTCAGTATCATATACCTCATTACTATAAAATTCATTTCAATATTATATGTGCAAGACAAAAAATTAGCTAAAATTATCTTTTTTAATGACAATTATTGGAACCCTGTGAATATTTTTCATTGAGATTATAATTAGTAACAAGAGGCCCAATGGGCCTGCATCGCTCACCTGGTATAAATCTCACACTTGCAACCTTAAAAGTGATCTAAAATAAAGCTACAGGCAAAATATCAGTATTTATGATTAAAGTCATTCAAAGAACCTGTTAAAAGATTTTAAAACATTTCACCCCTGTTACTTTGAAAGACTACCAAGTCATTATGTTGAACAAATTGTATAGCCTTATACATTTAAACAAACTTTGTAGCCCTTCATCTCAGCAAGCTACTGGCCAAATATCATCACCCTGTGCATTTTGGTTATTCAGAAGAAGTTATTTAATGTTTTTCACATATTTGACCCCTGTGACCTTGAATATAGCTGAAGGTCATTCATTCGAACAAACTTGATAGCCCTTTATCCCAGCATTCTTCTGGCCAATTATCATCACCCTGTGCATTTTAATTATTCAGAAGAAGTTGTTTAAAGTTTTTAACATTTTTGACCCCTGTGACCTTGAATATGGGTGAAGGTCATTGATTTGAACAAACTTTGTAGACCTTCATCTCAGCATGTTACTGGCCAAATATCATCACCCTGGGCATTTTGGTTATTCAGAAGAAGTTGTTAAAAGTTTTTAACATATTTGACCCCTGTGCCCTTGAATATGGGTGAAGGTCATTCATTTGAACAAACTTTGTAGCCCTTCATCCCAGTTTGCTTCTGGCCAAATATCGACAACCTAGGCCTTTTGGTTATTAAGAAGAAGTTGTTTAAAGTAAAATATTGACGACGGACGGACGACGGACGCCGCACCACGGCATAAGCTCACTTGGCACTGTGTGCCAGGTGAGCTAAAAACTAGAAAATGTCTGTAAGACATAAATGCGGGACCCCTGCTGCCAAAAAAAATTGATGATTGTGAAATTAGTTTCAGTGTTCTATAAAAAGTTCCAACCACTTTGATCTTGATACCCTGAAAAATGCACACACAGAAGGTACTACACTTAAAGTTGATTTTAATATTCATATGTTTTTTCTGTATGTTATTACCATCTCCATAACATATTGAATGAAGTTGCTAAGTGTTTAAATTGAATCAGTAGATGATTTTCTATATATAGCAACAGTGACCTTGACCTTGATCTTGGATCCCTGAAATACAACGATTTCCGAAGTATACTCATACTTGACCTTTGTATAAAGTTTGACCAAAACCTGTCAAAGAATGAAGTTGTTAAGTGTTTACATTGAATCGGGACGGGACGGGGGGACGGACATGGGTAACACTATATGCCCCCCCATTTTATGGTGGGGGCATAAAAATTGACAATGTGAAACAAGAGTGGGAGTTTAATTTGAAGAAATGCAAGTGACATACAAACTTAAGGTAGAATTAAAAAGGAGAGAGGTAAACAGTAGGATACTGTATTTTGATAATCCCATAACAATCCTCAGACGTAATAATGTCTGATTTTACCTAGTAACACAGATGTCAGCTGCTACCTACCATTCTATGTTGTCCGAGTCTCGTCCCTCCAGGACACTGTCCACCTCGGCCTGTATCTTTTGCTGCCACTCGGGATGCTGGGCCAGCGAGTACAGTGTCCAACACATGGCACTAGTTGTGGTGTCGTGTCCTAGGAACACAAAGGTCCCGGTTGTTGTTAGAGTATCTCTAATACACCAGTAACATTAGGCCGATCAGACCATTACCGATCACTTAAGCCAGCATCCCATTACCCAGTAAGTAAGCTATCAGCTTTGACAAACTGACATAAGGACAGATATATATACCATATTTACTGGTGATAAGCCCATGCCCGGTAATAAACCCACCCTCCACTTTTCCTTACTTTCCGTTTATGCCTGGAATTTATAAGCCCTTCCCCAGTTCGTTGGCATCGGTGATTTTTTTGTTTTTGTATATATTATGGTAGAACCTTGTTACTAAATCACTGCTTTTAAAATGGAGTGGTAGAGAAGTAAGTGGCACATTACAATCTATCAGTAACAAATTATCGCGAAATTAAAACACTTTTTTTTTCTCATACATTTTTACAACAAAATAAACAAATACAATTGGCCGAAAGGGCCTGTTTGATCAAATTGATATATTTAAACCTGAACTGCCAGTATCCACCAGCAAATTAAAAGTCTACAGTGTCGTATTTGATTTCATCATTTATACAATTCTTCTGAAATACCTTTAAATTTACAGCCCTTATCACCTTTTTTAATTGCGAGCATATATTTCAAAACATTTCCGAAAATCCCTGAAAATTTACGATAATTGATCACCACCATTGTTCTTGTTTATAGTACGCACTCCTTTTTTGAAACTTTCCTTTTTCCTTAAAAAAGTGTGCACTTTACGCAAACTTTTAAGGTAATAGGCATTTGCCAAATATATAAACCATTGACTTTATAGTTCTTAATGCCAGATGATCTAAATTAAAGAAAATTCATCTTATTACCATTTTAACACACCTGTTATTATGATACAAAATGTGTATTTACCTTCAAAAAGAAAAGTGTCAACTTCATTACGAATTTCTAACGGTGTCATTCCGATGTTGTTTTCATCTTTTGCTGTTAACAATATATCCAAGAAGTCCAGATATCTGGATTTGCGGCCATTTGTTTGAGTTGGTAGGCCCTCTATTTCCTGTTAATGAAAATAATATGGCTATGTGTATCATGGGTCACTGACAAAATATAACAAGAGGTAAGTTCATCTGTGTCTTACGTCCTATTAACACCTATGATCATTTAAGAACATTCCAAGTTTCAGTAGTGGAGGAAAAGTGGAGTTCCCGGAGAAAAACCACCGACCTGCATTCAGTACCTGGCGACTTTCCCACATAGGCCACAAACCCACAACCCATATATGCCAGTGGTGGTAAGTTAGTGATGGTAGACGCAGTTGCCTTAACCACTCAGCCAACGTGCCCCCCCCCCCCAACAAAGAGTACAGTGAATATTACATACTATACCTACAATTGTTGATTAGTAGTTCATTTGCTAACAGCATTTTCTATAATAGGTTTCCTATTGAAATAGGTAGCATCTTCTATGTAATTGGATTTTAAAGAATAAAATATATTTTTAAAAGAATTTTATTATCAATATACACATGAATAGGAATTGACCTTCAATGACCTTGACCTTTTACAAGATACCTTAACAATACTCATAGATGTCTATCTTTTAAGAAAATAATACAACTTTGATCTTTGTCAAAATAACCCGAAAAATATAGACGTCTAGACCTCTTCTCAAGTACTATTCAAACTTTATTCTGTACATACACGCTAAAAAGTACTGCTTGAGTGACTCAAAATCTGTACAGTCAACATTTGACATTCTAGTCAGATTGAGAGTTTCCCAGATAAATAAAGCAATGTTACCAAGGTTTGACTACTCCAACAGTACTGTTAGAGGTTTACACGGCGAGATACTTTCAGCAACATCATATCCGATAGAAAAAAGGCAGACCAGCGGCCTCTTATGTTATAGGAGTTGATTGGACTGTAGTTCAAAAATACAATTTTTTAAGATTTTTTGCTTTATTACTTACAACTGATTTTTTCAAAGCATGAAAAATCAAACACAGATAGTTTTAAGGATCTCCGTCCCTCTGCCTTGTAGTACAAATGTATTTGTATAGTACCAGCACCCTCTCCTTAATTTCGTTTTTAGAATATACCTTTATCACAGTGCCAGTACACTTCTGTTGACCAGGTAGCTAGCTCAGCCAGGTTGAGTGATAACAACCTGATGTCCAGGGTTTGAATCCTAGGCCAGCCCTGCTGATGGTGTTGGGTTTTTTTTTCATCAGAACACTGTTGTTGATCATTATTTGGTTTATTTCATCTCTATATTCTTTCATAAATGTTTCACAAGGTATGCTTTACTTATCAACACTATAGTCATGCATGCAAAATCGGTTCTTGTCTCAAAGTTACAGTTTACAGATGTGGTACAGGGATCCTTGAAGCGATTTACACGGGATACAGTCTGTATAACAGAGTGATTTACACAGGATACAGCCTGTATAACACAGTGATTTACACGGGATACAGTCTGTATAACAGAGTGATTTACATGGGATACAGCCTGTATAACACAGTGATTTACATGGGATACAGCTTGTTTAACACAGAGTGATTTACACAGGATACAGTCTGTATAACACAGAGTGATTTACACAGGATACAGTCTGAATAACACAGAGTGATTTACACGGGATACAGCCTGTATAACACAGAGTGATTTACACGGTATACAGCCTGTATAACAGAGTGATTTACACAGGATACAGACTGTATAACACAGAGTGATTTACACAGGATACAGTCTGTATAACACAGAGTGATTTACACGGGATACAGCCTGTATAACAGAGTGATTTATATGGAATACAGTCTGTATAACAGAGTGACTTACATGGGATACAGCCTTTATAACACAAAGTGATTTAGACAGGATACAGCTTGTATAACACAGAGTGATTTACACAGGATACAGCTTGTATAATACAGAGTGATTTACACAGGATACAGTCTGTATAACACAGTGATTTACACAGGATACAGCTTGTATAACACAGAGTGATTTACACAGGATACAGTCTGTATAACAGAGTGATTTACACAGGATACAGCTTGTATAACACCGAGTGATTTACACAGGATACAGTCTGTATAACACAGTGATTTACATAGGATACAGCCTGTATAACACAGAGTGATTTACACAGGATACAGTCTGTATAACAGAGTGATTTACACAGGATACAGCTTGTATAACACCGAGTGATTTACACAGGATACAGTCTGTATAACACAGTGATTTACACAGGATACAGTCTGTATAACAGAGTGATTTACACAGGATACAGCTTGTATAACACAGAGTGATTTACACAGGATACAGTCTGTATAAACGAATGATTTCCACGGAATACAGCTTGTATAACACAGAGTGATTTACACAGGATACAGCCTGTATAACACAGAGTGATTAACACGGGATATATATACAGCCTGTATAACAGCGTGATTTACATGGGATACAGCCTGTATAACACAGAGTGATTCACACGGGATACAGCATGTATAACACTGGGTGAATTACACAGGATACAGCCTGTATAACACAGAGTGATTTACATGGGATACAGCCTGTATAATACAGTGATTTACACAGGATACAGCTTGTATAACACAGAGTGATTTCCACGGGATACAGTCTGTATAACAGAGTGATTTACATGGGCTACAGCCTGTATAATACAGAGTGATGTACATTGGATACGGGCTGTTTAACACAGAGTGATATACAAAGGATACAGCCTGTATAACACAGAGTGATTTACACAGGATACAGCCTGTATAACACAGAGTGATGTACATTGGATACAGCCTGTATAACACAGAGTGATGTACATTGGATACAGGCTGTTTAACACAGAGTGATATACAAAGGATACAGCCTGTATAACACAGAGTGATGTACATTGGATACAGGCTGTTTAACACAGAGTGATTTACATCCACATGGCATGTCTTCATGTTGATACTTACAAGTGTCTGCTGCCGTTTCTTGATAATTTCCTCCGCTACAGAATGAACGTAATCACTGTACCTTTTGAACTGTCGGCCGTTACCAGACAAGAAGTAAACAAAGTCAGAGAAATGAAAGATGTTCCTGAAATATAACACACAGAAAAAAATTCAAAATATCATACTATAATTTACAATATTATCCTTTAGATAATGCAAGGAACACTACACAATTGGATATATCAAATACTAAAAGTGAGAGACAGATTATAACATCCCAGACAGTTTAATCCTTTCACCACTGTAGACTATAATGGAATCTGCCAAATCAATACATGGATGAGTCTACTAAAGTAACATAGGGGTGAAAGGGTTAATATCACTCTCTAACATATTCAATTTCTTCCTCAGAAACTTGCTTAAGCATAAAAAGAATGTGAGGTAAACTTTCATTAATGTTTTATATATGAAATATACCATAATTGTTGGATGGTTCTGATCTGAATCTGTTAAAGCAATCTGAATCAAATATATTTATGATCTTTCAATTTGTCAATTTCTTCAATCTGATGCAGTGATATATGTATAGATTAAATACGTCAAAAAATATAATAAACATATCTACAAGTCACCTGATAGAGGTTATTTGTTCTTCGGTAAATACTAATAATCTGACAACTGTTACACCAATATGAAACAAGAGGACCAGAGGATATATATCACACACCTTGATATTTAAGCAATGATTGCAAAAGATTCTCAATGACAGTAGGATGCCAAATATGATCCCAGGGAAGTGGCCATTTCCCTGGGCCAATCCAATATTTGCATCCAAATCTTCATGCTCAGTAATTGTATATACATGTATCAATTATCATAAGGTAGGGATCTCAAAAGGTGTCCATGTCCTGCCCCAGGGACTAAGTCTCTAGGGGTGTGACCAGACCCCAGGGTCAATTTAATCATTATTGTGTTCGTCTCTTTATACAATGTAGCCCAATTGTCTTTTGTGGCCCTATTCCTTAACTCCCCAGGGGAGGGGGCAGCCCTTTCAATTGTACATGTATAATGAGGGATCCTCACCACCTGAGAATTCCTCCATCCAAACATGGTTGATTGCCATCTTCTAGTTCCAGAAATGAAGTTGCTTAAAACAATACGGTCAAATGACCTCTAGGTAAGCTAACAATGCAGTGACACTTACAGTGACCTTGTGACTCAGAGGTCAAAGTGTGATACTTACAGCGACCTTGCAACCCAGAGGTCACTGAGTTTATTCACGGCCTTCACATATGGATGGCTATCTCTGTTAATGTAAGAAAAGGTATGTCTGTCAAAATACATTATGTATTCAGTGATTACAATAAATGTAATGTATTTCCGTTCAATTACACAAATACAATAACCTAAAATATTTGTAAAAATTTGTTAAGCCCATTAATTATCAACTTCAATAATTTGGGTATTCAAACTATCACAGTTTATGAAAATGAAGATTAACTTCATACACTAGTATATATGTTGCAGAAGCAATAATTCACCATTTTACCTAATGTTGCAGTAGACTAGTTATAACATTCAAGTGAATGTGTTTAGGCTATAAACAGCTGCTATCTGTAATGTCACATGTTACATTTGGTCTTTTAAACAGGGATCGACTTGATACAGAGGTGGACTTGATACAGAAGTGGACTTGATACAGAGGTGGACTTGATACAGAGGTGGACTTGATACAGAAGTGGACTTGATACAGAGGTGGACTTGATACAGAGGTGGACTTGATACAGAGGTGGACTTGATACAGAAGTGGACTTGATACAGAGGTGGACTTGATACAGAGGTGGACTTGATACAGAGGTGGACTTGATACAGAAGTGGACTTGATACAGAGGTGGACTTGATACAGAGGTGGACTTGATACAGAGGTGGACTTGATACAGAAGTGGACTTGATACAGAGGTGGACTTGATACAGAAGTGGACTTGATACAGAGGTGGACTTGATACAGAAGTGGACTTGATACAGAGGTGGACTTGATACAGAAGTGGACTTGATACAGAGGTGGACTTGATACAGAAGTGGACTTGATACAGAGGTGGACTTGATACAGAAGTGGACTAAATACAGAGAAAGTCTTAACACTAGGTCATTTCACACAATGGTAGACTTACCTGTAATATAAAGGTGGTCTTTTTACAGAGGTGCACTAAATGCAGTTGGCCTTTTTACAGAGGTACACTTAATGTGGAGTTTGTCTTTTTACAGAGGTGCACTTAATGTGGAGTTGGTCTTTTTACAGATGTGCACTAAATGCAGTTGGCATTTTTACAGAGGTACACGTAATGTGGAGTTTGTCTTTTTACAGAGGTGCACATAATGCAGATGTGGTATTTATACAGAGGCACACTTAACAGAGGTGTTCTTTATACAGAGGTGCACTTAATGTGGAGTTTGTCTTTTTACAGGGGTGCACTTAATACAGAGATAAGTGTTTGACATAGATGCAATTAATACAAAGGTGGTCTTTTTACAGAGGTGCACTTAATGCAGAGGTGGTGTTCATGCAGAGGTGCATTTAATGGAGAGGTGGTCTTTATACCAAGGTGTACTCAAAACAGAGGTGGTCTTTTTACAGAGGTGGCCAATTGCCAAGTTGTACTTAAACAGGAGGTGGTCTTTTTACAGAGGAGCACTTAATGTGGAGTTGGTCTTTTTACAGAGGTGTACTTAACGCAGAGTTGGTCTTTTTACAGAGGTGACTTAATGCAAAGGTGGTCTTTATACATAGGTGCACTTAAAACAGAGCTGGTCTTTTTACAGAGGTGCAAAATGCAGAGGTGGTCTATTTACAGAGGTGCACTTAATGTGGAGTTTGTCTTTTTACAGAGATGTATTCAATGCAGAGGCGGTCTTTTGCTAAGTTGGACTTAATACAGAAGAGGTCCTTACAAAGTTGTGGACTTGATACATTACAGAGATGGATTTTGTGTAAAAGAGGTATATATATATAAGTGCTGTCTTAATCTTGATACAAAGAAGCTTGTTCTTACCCTAGAACCTGACAATCACTCTTGTATGAAAATGCACACCTAAGTATGTTATCCAAGGAAGCCATACCAATATAGTTAAACAGTTCAAACGATTGGCCTTTCTTACAACAGTCCTCCACTTTTAACTGAAAAAATAAATGTTAAACACTATGAAGAGATTCACATGTTGTTTCATACCTTTTTAACACATACATATATATCTCGTTAGGCATATTGACATATGATTCTCCCATCTCTGTGTATGAAGGATACACATGTCCCATGTGGGACTCCCATGTGAGATATACAAGTGTATCCCACATGGGTGTGCTCAGTGACCTGTACTATTATGACGTCACAATCAGTTGACTCACTGATGAAATATTGCCCTCAGCAAGTGATACCACCTCATGAGTTTTTAAGAATTGTTGTACAAGCTTGCCCTGGAGGTCTTGTGTTGTGTTTTAAATTTGAGGTACATGTATACATAATACATATGGCAATTTTTTTCTGCTCTTCTTAAATATGGCTTTAGTTTGTGTATACGTTATCTAGAAATGTTGCCATTTTTACTGTTGCATTTGTCTGCGACCAGTTTTATTAAAATTTTATTTGAAAGGTAGAAGAAAATTGGAGTCAATGATCAAGTACGCAAGTATCACTTGGATATGGATATTCTACACCCTAAGGTAGAATATATTGTTATAATATTTATGCAGATATCTTGCTTAAAAAAGATACTTCAACAATACGTTATTACTGTATACTTGTAAATTTTCACTGCAAATGAACTTTTGCCTTTTTCACTCTTTCCAATGAGGGCAAATTTATTATAAAAATAAATCTTAGTACACAACATATGACATATGGTAATCACATCGGCGAAGGGTCAATATTTCCTCCTAGCTTTCTTAATTGCCCATGCACGCATTGGATTACATCTACAATCTTCTGTAGTTAACATGCGTACATATTGTGTTTTATTTACCAGTGTTATGTTCACACACAGCTAACACAGGAATTAACATATACATATCCTACATTGTACATGCCTATATATACATTCCCACTGCAAGTTCCTCTATGAGCACTACCAAAAGGAATTGCATTCATAGGGCTATGAAAACATTTGGATCAGTGTCATTTCGAAGCTTCTCGATCCGCCTCAAATAGCATGAGACAACAGCTGGAAGCAAACATTTTGATGACATTAGAATGTTCCAGGAATCTCGTTAGCACTGACAACATGAACACTTCAATGTCGGTAATACAAGGGAATATCTGTATTCAGGTCAATAGTTTATACAAATTAATGATGTCAATATACAATGTAAGGATTGAACGGCATTTTTTTTCAATGTTTAGGCGAGAATGAAATTGAAAAAATGCCATTCAATCCTTGTATATGATTTTTTTCTATTACAAGATATTGAAACACTGACCTGTAGAACGTCTGAGATCTCATTGTAGACGGTCATGTACGGCTGTAAGATATCAAAGTGGAAGGCAGGTGTGAGCAGTCGGCGGTTCCTCGCCCACCGTTTCCCATTGGCCAGAAGGAGTCCATCTCCAAGCCAACTCTTACCCAACACATAGGACGTACCAACTTCAGTAGATTTTGGTTCTGTACAAACACAATGTCAATTAACTCCAATCACCCTTCCTATGGCATTAACACTATATACCATTAGCTACATAACTATAACACCAATACCAGGTACACAGGATGTAGGTTTACATGTAGGTTCAGTAAAAACAAAATGTCAACTTAAAATATCTATCTTCATATTGGGCACTCTCACTCTAGGTACAAAGGGATTGAGCACTCTTACTCTAGGTACAAAGGGATTGGGCACTCTCATTCTAGGTACAAAGGGATTGGGCACTCTCACTTTAGGTACAAAGGATTGAACACTCTCACTCTAGGTACAAAGGGATTGAACACTCTCACTCTAGATACAAATGGATTGGGCACTCTCACTCTAGGTACAAAGGGATTGAACACTCTCACTCTAGGTACAAAGGGATTGAGCACTCTCACTCTAGGTACAAAGGGATTGGGCACTCTCACTCTAGGTTCAAAGGGATTGAGCACTCTCACTCTATACAAAGGGACATAACTCTACACACCAATACATATTTATAGAGATACCAACCTCAGTAGGTTAAGGTTCTGTATCAACAATATGTCAGTTCAAAATATCAACTTTATATTCAGCACCCTAATTACAAAACAATGGACATAACTCTGGAAAGCAAATGTACCAACCTCGGTAAGCTTAGGTTTTCTACCTTCACAAATCACTCTCACTATCAGACAAGGGACATAACTCTTCACAGACATTAATGTAAGCACTAGCTAGCCTGTTAAAATATTCAAAAAGAAATTCAGGACATATATATTATTGTCACATATTTTTTTGTCATTACAAAGGCATTTTTGTGAACACAGAATCAACAGAATATATATATTATAAGAAAAGACAGCACAGACAAGATTTACAGTAACAATCAAACACACAGAGATAACTTATGTGTATCGTGTAAACAGAGAACTGGATATATATAGTTTGTTTTTCATTTGTAACTGTCAAGGTACATGGTAAAATATGAAGTTGTTTTACCTGAAGACTTCAGTATGAACTTGACAGATTTGGGATGATGGCAGATTAATACACAACGAAAGAAACTGATCCAAATTCTATGGAAGAGCGGATACTGCTGTGTACGGAGCCTCTGGAAAGCCAAGCCCTTTTCATTGGGTCCAGGATACTGTTTAAGCATATAGAAAATATTTTTATATACCCTTCCGTCTTAAACCAGTTCAATGAGTGAGCGATACAGTATTCAGGACAAATTTGAGTGAAGCAATATTTATTTGTTACAAATCTAGGTTTAAAGTTTGATTATTAAGCTTTAACCCATTCACCCCTGAAGTCATATATATGAACCTTACCAAATCAAAGACTGGGAAAGTCCAGTTTAAATATGCAGGGGTGGATGAGTTATAATCTAGAACCTGTACTAAGCTATATCCCAAAATAATGCCCTATAACATGCATGATGGCTGAGATAAAGTTGATAAAGCATGATGTATATCTCAAGATCGCTTGTTTGAAGAGCCAGCAAGCATTAACTAAACAATTTGCACTGATGGTAAAGCAAGACTTTTATGTAAATATTATTCATTCACATCCGTGGCATTATTGGTTAATTGCTGTTTATTGATCTGATACCAACTATTGGTATATTGTTGTTATTGTTGTATTATCAATTGATATTGTTACTTTTGTATTGGCAACATCAATAACTTTAAAAGCGATGCAGAATATATTCTGGTTACAGTTTGGTGAAACTATTTCACAGGATTTGTTTTGTATCAAGAAAAAACCAAGTTTCTAAAGCCTAGATTTGTTTTTGGGCAGTGGTGCTTGGATACTTAAGTAAAATAAAATTTTAAATAGATTTACAGTGACCAATATATGGAAACAATTTACCTAAACATAAAAATATTCAGAGAGCTGGAATAGCAAAACAAAAACAGTGCAAGAACCGTTTTGATGTGGTAGAATAGAAATAATAACTACGTACTGTCAGTATATTCTAAGATTTTTTTGATTTTTTTTAGAAAATGAATAACAAGATATTGATGTTAGGAAAGTCAATATTTACCAGATGCATGTGACCCCAGAACCAATGAGTGTCCCTGCTCCCAGGGAGCAGGTCATAATCTTCCCTCCAGCGAGTATACTGAAGGGAACTGTGAATCAGTTTACAGACAAGGACCACACCTAATGTAGCTGCAAACACCAGAGATAAGTCCGGGACATCCAACAGCAGATCCATCACACTGAAATTGAAAATGCACTGTTAGTGACATTTGATGAACAAACCCTTAATTTTGTAGGTCACCTCCACATGAAATTTCCATTTGTTTAATTAACATATAATCCAAGTTTAATGTGACAAATTGTATGATTGTAGATAAAAGTGTAGATAAAAACTGTAATTAAAAAGAAAAAAACTGAATTAATTTTTGTACAAAATTAGAATTTCTAAAAAATGTTCTGAAATATAAAATTCAAAACAAAATCTGTCTCAGGTAAAAGGAAACAAACAGTACTAACTACTTTGATTTATTGTATCATTTTTGAAGCAATTGTTTTCAGCTTGATAGAAATATCTATCTATTTTTTTGCAACGGAACTTGACTTGGTTTATCTTAGGCAACCTAGTAGCTCAATTGGTTTGAGCGTCAGTCTACAGTTTAAAGATTTTGGGTTCCAATCCCAGTCTGGCCATACATTTTTCCTCCCCTGTTGCAGTGGTGCCTGTGACCAGGCCTTGTTTCAAATACTTAGTTTACTGTACACTTTGCAAGTGGATGGGGTAACCTGGGTTGTAAATATTGTTGTCTTATGAGCAAAGGCTCTGAAAAAGGATGGAGGAATTCAAATACAGTGGAATCTGTAATAAGCGACCACCCAAGGGAAATTTAAAAAAACGGTCGTTTAATAAAATCGGTCATTTAATAAAGTTTGACCATATTTTGTAAACAATCGTCTATAACCAAACGACTCCTTATTCAGACAACTGTAAACAGACCCCAAGCGCACATTTACACATGTATGTACAGGTGGTTTAAACAACATCGTTCAACAGATCAGGTGAATAACTAAACAATAAGTTGAGTGATAATTATGACAGTAAACAAACAAACAACTAGGAGTGTTTGGAAGAATTGTCACTTTACTCAGAACAAACGATCGACGGACTCATGGAGACAGGTTGAAGTTCTCAACTTACACGACTGAGTTTTCGGTAATTACCATGATGTAAGCTAACTTGTTACGAAAGGTATTGTTGTAGAAATCATAGCGGTTCCTGTGTTGGTCCAATAGATGGGTTCACATGAATTATTCCTTTATTTTACGATTGAAAGTGGAAAGAGTCCAGCAGAACACTGATTCTCTCACTCCTACTCCTACCAAACACTTCATTCCAGAACTACCTGTAGACAACAATCCGTCTCCCTAAGAACCATCTGTGACTGGAATAAACTGCCGTCTGCTACCGTAAAGTGTAAGACAACTGACTCCTTTAAAGCTGCCCTCCTATCTGCTCAATATTAACTTCTTTTTTTCCCCTTATTATGTCACTCCCCCATCCTTTCCCTTCGCAGATCTCCGACATAATCTTCAGCTAGATGAAGTAGGTCAGTATACAGTAGAAGTAGAAGACAATGCAGTTAAAAAATTGCGCTTAGAAGCCGACAGCATGTTGCGAAGTTCAGGGATGTTATTAAAGGCTTTTAATATTAATTAGGAATTAGAAACGATATGTGTGCTAACATAAACATGTTTAGTGTGCAGTTGTGCTGATATTTAGTGTTAATTTCGCACGAGAGTGCTGTCGTAAACATCTCTAAATAGACCCAATTTCAAGATTGAAAACCTGCCAGTGTACTTCATCCAATCAGATGAGGGATATTGTAGGGTTAAAGATTACATTGCCTAGCAGGACACTCGCGCAGTCAAAATGGTTTTGCTCAACTGCGATACAATCAACAATATCAGCAGTTAGAAAAATGACTTTTTATTTGTTTCTGCACACCAATGAATTTATTATAAGTTTAGAAATTGGTTTTGTCCATTTTGTTCACTAAACTTGGTGAAGATCGTGAAGTAGCCCTTTGTCAAATGTGGTGACAAGTCGCAAATATGGAGTTACACAACTATTTCAACGACCGTTTGGTATATTTTCGTCAAACATGGTCGCTAAAATGTATCAAATGTGTCAGTATTTGGTGGTCACTGGTCGCGTTGGACAGATGGTTACTTTATACAGTTAAATTACATCGTAAAAACGGTCGGGAGGAATGAAAAGTGGTCACATAAAACAGATGGCCGTTTTATGCAGATGGTCGCTTGAGCAGATTCGACTGTATAAAGGAACTGGACAGGGTTGATCAGCGGCGACCATGTAGCTCAATTGGTCAGAGTATTTGTGTAGAGGTCACAGGTTCAAATACTTGTCTGGCTGTTGATTTTTTTCTTTCCTGTTACATATCTATTGAAGATTTTTTTTTCCACTGTCTGAGCTTTCTGTCAGTCGATGGAGGTTCCAAGAACAATCTACATATCAACAGCCAAGTTTCAATCAATGCACAATGTTACCATCTTATACGATTTGACCTCTAATGCCCTTTCAACTGAAGTGCAGCATGCTCTCTAGATCTATTGATACCCACAATTTTATACAATATCAGATGGGTTTTTTCTTCATCATTATTTACCTAATTAACAGCCCATTTTGTTACACTACTCTAAATTGTTTTGCTACCCTAAAGTTTTTATTGGCATTTATTGATATACAGTATTAAAGTCAAAACTCTTGCTTTATATGTAAGCATAAAAAAGGTGAGTTCAGCTAGGTTGTGGGTTTTTGGTCAGGACTGTTCTTATTGACAGAAACAAATGCATGTGGGTTGACATGGGCTATTTATATAGCTACTCAGAACACACTGAAAGCAATTGAGGTGGGGCATTTGTCATTTTCACAAAGATTTAGCTAACTGAATTAACATAATGTATGCATTATAGCATAGGTGTTTGAACAGACGAGACTAGTATGTGTACTGATTCAATCAGTGATTGTAGGAGATCACAAGACATCCTCAATCATGACCCCAAAACTTGAGTATGCCATGACACAGGTGCTCGGGTTCTAGAATACATGTGATTTATAATCGCACCCGACAGGATAAAGCAACCCCTTAAACGAAAAAAACAAGAACATGGAATTTGTACTAACTTGCCTGTCATCTATCGTGCATTGTTATATCATAGAATGCAATTACTCTATGTTAGAGGTTGCAATATGATGCAATATAATAATCAATGTAAAGGGCCAGCACCGATCTGATCCTTATTAATTTGTATCTGTGTGACGTGGACAAGCGATAATATATCTTATTTATTCCAGAACCCGAGCACATGTGTGCCCCCAGAGTTTCCTCTGGCCCCGACACCAGACTAAGACATTTTGACCACGAGTGTCATACAATAGGCTAAGTACTACGTATTAGCATATATAGTATAGGCCTATATATGTTACTAATTTGAAAAGGGCACCGTGATTTCAGTCAGTCAAGCTCTGAAACACATATTCGATGTTATACAATACCTCGTTATCTGCAGTTTTACTTTCTGGCGGTGTCCTCCGAATATTGATATAGAGTTATCGGTCCTGCTCTATAAACACTTCCTGTCAATTTCAAGAGGCCCAATGGGCATGTGTCGGAACAAATCAAGAAGTTGCCTAATGTGGCATATATATCGTCCTTATGTTAAAATTCATTCATTTGGCAATGTATAAGCATTCTGTGGTACAATGTTGTACTTAAAGTTCTACATACAAAAGGAATTAAAGACAAAGACTATATGTTTGTTTTGAACATAAATTAACAGAAACTGAAAACTTATTGTGCGAGCGTTCGAAAACGTCTGTTTCCTTTGACAAGCAAACAATGCAAATGCCCAGTGTCTCGACTCTAAACCGTTGAAAACAACTCACTGAGCCCCAGTAATCCGAATCGAGTAAACTCGTCAGCTGTCGTAAATCAAAGAGACATTTCGCCCAATGTGTACTCAAATACTAAAGGCAGTCAAGGGGCGGCCTAATTAAGTGGATGTTAAGATAGGGTCATAAATATGACTCGGCTGATGGTTGCGACCACACATCCGAAAGAAAAACTGCCGAAAGAGGATAAATCGGGGGTGTTCTTTTTGTAAATTAAGTGTCTTCTTATGCAGTTTTCACTAGATTTAGGTCACCTTAACCTTCACCTTTAGATAAATGTCAAGTAAGCCAATTTTGCAGGAAAATCTTGTCTGAATTGAAAATTTCAAATCGTTGAAGGGAGTTCGTTGAAATTTGAATGAAGTGCAAATGTATTTCGGTTATCATGACTTTACATTTAAGTCTAACGTTAAAATTAATGTTCTCAGCAAATACTACACATTGTATTTGTACATGCTTAAATTTGTTCACAAAGATATATGGCAAGCCAAGTTGTCATTTATGCATGGAGCAATGTTGATCCAGTACTTAACCAAATTATATAAGATATCTTATTTAATTATATAAGATATCTTATATACTTTATGAGATATCTTATATACTTTATAAGATATCTTATATAATAAATGAGATATCTTATATATTTTATAAGATATCTTATATACCTTTCTTTATAAGATATCTCATAAAAGATATAAGATATCTTATAAAGAAAATTAAATGAGATATCTTATATCTTTTAGAAGATATCTTATATAATATATAAGATATCTTATAAACAAAATTAAATGAGATATCTTATATAATTCGGTTATAAGATATCTTATAAAGAACGAGATTTGAATTTGAGATAATAAACCCTCCTCCACAGCGCTCGGTAAAGCATTAAATCGAAAGCCTTAGTTTCGTACGTATCTCTTAACCGGAAATGAAGTATGTGAAAGTGAAAGTAGGAGTTTAATGCCACCAAATAGGTCTGGTTATAGCGGTATTAACATTATTTTAAAAGGTTAAGCTTTATAAAGTAGATGGGGGGTAAGTGGTGGAGAAATGGATGTTCCTATGTATTTCATAACTGAAGGAAAACGATCCTACTGCATGTATTACTTACAATTTATTCATTAAAATGTTTTATCTTGATTTTCTTCACGGATTTCCTCTAAATGTTTTTAAAGAAATTTGATAAAATTGTAATATTACCCGTACAAATTCACAGACAGGTAATTGACATTAAACATATTAGGAACATTTATTAATTGTTTCGGCTGCTTATCACAGACCGCATTAAAGCCATTTTGGTCTCTGTGGAGTATAACATATAGATAGACATGGGGACATTTTTTTTTATTTACTGTTTCAGACTGGTCATACACCTGTATTTATTATCACAGACAGGCTATGTATCTTTAATTATATTGTTTCAGATAAAATTGTTTTAACTATCACAGACATTAAAGAACATACTTATGTATTTGTAATTCTATGTTCTATCAATATACTGTAATGTAAGGAACATTAATTCATTGTTTCAAACTGGTTATAAACTTGTATTTACTTATACTATTACAGACAAGAAGTAATATTTCATTATTTGATACATATGTATACAGATAAGTGATATTTCATCATCAGGTGCATGTTCTTTAAAGTCTTTGAGATATTGATCACTTATAAGATATATTTTGTAGAGATACAATTGTATTTTGTGACCTAAAAGGCATTTCACACAAGCCAGATACATGGTAACACTTACAGCATGTCTGTAGTAGTAATTACATGTGTAATACCTGTCTGTGATAGTATATACATGTGTAATACCTGTCTGTGATAATATATGCATGTGTAATAACTGTCTATAGTAGTAATTACATGTGTATTACCTGTCTGTGATAGTATATACATGTGTAATACCTGTCTGTGATAGTAAATGCATGTGTATGATCTGTCTGTGGTAGTAAATACATGTGCAATACCTGTCTGTGATAGTATATTCATGTGTAATACATGTATGTAGTAGTACATGTTTAATACCTGTCTGTAGTAGTATTTATGTGTAATACCTATCTGTGATAGTATATGCATGTGTAGTACCTGTCTGTAGTTGTAATTACATGTGTAATACCTATCTGTGATAATATATACATGTGTAATACCTGTCTGTAGTAGTAACTACATGTGTAATACCTATCTGTGATAATATATACATGTGTAATACCTGTCAGTAGTAGTAACTACATGTGTTATACCTGGATGTAGTAATATATATATATATAATATATTGCTGAGCATCAAAACTTGGATACACTTTTGTTAGAAAGACTTGTCCTAACTCAGTGCCTCTTTTTTATTATAAAACACAACAAAGATATCTTTATAAAGAATTATTGAGAAGGTTATATAATGATTTGTATACAGATTATACAAACTAGTAAACAGGGTAAATAAGAAGTGGTTTACAGAGTATATAAAGAATGGTATATAGAGAGTGGTATACAGGGTACATAAAAAGTCCTTATTTATTTAGTAAGGGTATCCTCTATAATACAGCCTCATTGCATAAGGTACCTGTATTTATCATCTCTATTATATATAGTGTATTGACTCATTTTCCAGAAGATACAATGTACATGATACAAAGTATATACATGGTATATTTCCGGTAAAGAGGAAAATAAGACATTTCATCTTCAAAAACCTGTAATTGTAGCATATCTCAGGTCTGAAAAAAACAGAGGCAAATCAGTCACTGGGCCAGAGCATTTGGGTGCCAATAGAGGAAGTTTGGGTGTAAAGATAATTAAGATCCCCCACCATGTAACCATCTGAATACATCCATGCTTACATGATTGGCGCCAGGGTCCTGCCCTGCCACAAGGGGCTTATAGTCCCCAAATTTTACATGAAATCAGTAAAGATCCCATCCAAATGCTGCTGGGCATGCAGAGGAAAAACACTCATGATACCAAGATAGTCCCTAATGGAGCCCACCCCATCCCTGAGGACTTACTCCTTCAGTCATAACATGGAAATTGTTGAGATCCCCAAGCTGATATTTCCTGTATGGTAAGAGGTAATCAACAACTTTTAATGAAAAATATTATTCCAGGTGAGCTATTAATAATGTGCCTGTGCTTCTTGTTCTTGAGAGGCCACAATAAGGGAACATAAATGGGAAACTCCAGCACAAGCAAACATGTTATATTTCCTGTGCATGCAATCAATATGAACCAATATCAGACAACTATTATAAAGATGAGGTACCTTACCTACAGAGAATATGGACCTTACATATACCTCATGTATATGTGCATGCATACAAGATGTACTTGATGTATAGGTGTAATCTGATGTATAGAAGGTATATATATACCTGATGCATGGAAGGTGTATATATATACCTGACCTATAGGAGGTGTATACCTGATGTATAGAAGGTATATATACCTGATGCATGGAAGGTGTATACCTGACCTATAGGAGGTGTATACATGATGTATAGAAGGTATATATACCTGATGCATGGAAGGTGTATACCTGACCTATAGGAGGTGTATACATGATGTATAGAAGGTATATACCTGATGTTTAGAAGGTGTATATCTGATGTATATGAGGTGTATATCTTAAGGTTTTTTTTATCAATTGTCGCCCTTTTACTCTTGGGGAGGGGATACATTTACATGATGTGATCATGTGGACGCTAAGGGCCTGAGGGGCGGAGCCAAAAGGGGCCAAAATAGCTCAAACAATAATTGTCTACTTCCAGATCCAGATATGTTAAAAAACCTTCTCATGGATGGAAATATCCTGATGTGCTTAATCAAAATGTGAATTTCACAACCCCTTGGGTACTAATTCCTCCCTGGTGAGGGGCAAAATTCCCTGCTATACATATATATATATGTAATTTTTATTTTTGACATATCACAACAACAAATAACAATTGCATTACAACTCAGGTGACCTGTTAGGCCCATGGGGCTCTTGTTTTAAAGTACTGTATTAGTTGGATGTGTTGATATTGGCTTCCACTAATAATCCCACTACTTACCTATAATTAGATGTGGGTTACAGGGACATGTCACATGCTTATTAAGTGTGCTGCAAAATATATATATATACTGTGATGCCCATTCATTATATATAATATCTTCCATTGTATATATAAACGAGTACCTGGTAGTATTTGACATGTCCCTATAGACTTAAGGTTATGGAATTATGCACTATAGAAATATTCAAATTTCAAATATTTCATATCAATATGGATTGAGTGTCGGTGCTATATATTTAAAAAAAAAACTGTTCAAAACAGTTGATTCTCAAACAGAATTTGTTCTGTATCAAAAAAAAAAATGTTTTTGGGCTGAAATATCTATCCTAGATGTTATTATTAAAAAGAGTTATACAATACTTATCCACAAGTTTTTGAGTCTTGAACCCAAATGTTAAGCACATGTATCAGTAAACTGAATATTTCTCTTGGAATCTGCTTCAAACTTTGGGGGAAAAGTCCTATTTGTACCATATGCTCCCCTGAGTGATAAAATTAATTTGGAAAAGGAACTGAAATACAAGACATTCTTCATTTTTGAAATTATATCTAAGTTCCCTAAGTTTATGATCTAGTGCCAGTCACTTTTC